AGCTAGGGACATGTGAACGTCAGCGAAAGATTGAGTGACATGCAGTATACACCTGTGAGTGTAGCTTTTAGTTGTGGCAAGAAATTTTTCCGTTTTAGTTTAATGATTATTTATCAGCTACTTTGTTCTCCTACTTACGTACACTTGTGTAAATGCCTTATATAGTGTGAAAAAAAAAGGATTGAAATATTGAAAGATTATGCAAATACGTAAATATCACGTTCATCAGCATAAAACGGCTCGCTTTTTAAGGGTTGAAAATAGCAAGACTTGCTTTCATCAAAGAGAGCCTTTTTAAAAAAACTAAAAACAGGGGCACCCAACGAAGTTTTCCTCCTAAATGCATTGAAGACCCTTGTTGGGCTATCCAGAGTACTCTTAGATCTCAATAAATAGCGGCGCTTTTAAAATTTGTATCGGTTAGGCCAACCTAGGGCACCGAGACTTTTCGAAATTTTAGATGCAATTTTAAGTTTTACCAAAGTGAGAATTTTTCTGATTCTTCTCTCCATAGCAATAGCATTTTTGAATCCCAAAATTTTTGGTTTCCTGGGTTTCCTCTTTCTTCGAAAAATAGGGTAACCTGGGGAATGAAATGCGAGTAAAACAGGCGCTGGTTCACACCGATTTCCACCGTTTTACGGAAATCGGTCACATTTTTCATATTAAATATACATTTTTGATAACAAAAACACTTTCCAAGTTGAAATCTGGCCAATATCTTGTCTGAATGACTCGGAAACCCAGGAAAGGGGACTTCAAGGAGTAAAAATCCAAAAAATTTCTTGGGGGAGCCCGCCCCGGACTCCGCTAAAAGCTTGCGCTTCGACACTCAGTATTTTATCCTAGATTCGCGCCTGTACCCGCTTCAGAATATCTTAGGGAATTTATTAGATAAGCTTCGATTGGTAATTGTACATGAATGCAACGGTCATCTAGAAAAATTTTAGCCTTCCTCAAGCTATATAAAATCAGTCTAGGCAATTTGTGATTCTCCGAAAGGATATTTTCAGAGAAAACATATCTGGAAACAAGAGAGAAAATTTCTCTCTTGCTGGGAATGATTATCGGGACCGTCAACTACGCAATGCAAGGCCAAGCGCTAATCCTTGCTCAATATATATTACGGGATTGCAGTTCCATTGAGTTCACTGTCGAATACACGATTATCAGTGCTTTCATCCTTGTTCGGATCAAGTTGATTGCATAAAATCCTAAGATATTCAGCTCTATAGGAGGTAGCTAGCGCGGCCAGATGGTCTAGGGTTGGAGTCCCGTTCTGACTACAAGTTTTAAAAGTTTGCCCGGGGATCAGATTTGTTACTCGGTTTCGGTTTCCATAGTCTAAAGGGGCATGCCACGCGGAGATTGCTGGCTTAGGTCAATTCCCCGGGTGGGGGTACTTCCTTATAAGAGGCTAATTGGGATGTGCCGCTCGATCGGGTCGCATTTTCAGTAGAGTCATTAGAATGGGGTTGCACATTTTCGGATTTTTGGAGGAAAGACAGTTGTTCATATTTACGGTTAGAAAACGTACCAGAACGTTTGTACTGTAGATGAAAAGTAAAGTTTTCTTCATTCAATCTAAAAAATGGGTCAATTCATAAAAATAGAAAGTGACTAAGTTGGGATCGCGAAAAATACATATTTGGGTCTATAATTGGCCGTTTTTCAGTGTCTTTAATTTTTCGGACCAGCTACAATATATACGTAACATTTTCTTCATTTTCTATTTCTTGTAAACACGCTAAAATTTCCTGAAGCGACTGATATCGGATTGAAATATATTTATCCATTCAGTGCCTTTGAACCTGATATTTTCGTTTTCAGTAGATGAGAGTTTTTCACTAACGGCCCCTGAAATTGAGACACATCGGATTTCTAAGGTAACAATCAAGAATCAGCATGACTTTTACGCCATCCGCTCCTATTAAAGAGCAGCATACAAGCCTGTGATGCTCAGCTGCGATGTTTACGGACGCATTTACAACAAAATGATAAAAATTTCCTGCTCAGACACGCAGGAACAATGCTCTGTACATATTTTCCTTATGGGAAGTTATTTGATCTTTGCTTTGGAGAATACGATCCATATAACGGATTGACCGGAAATCGGAGAAAATCGATAATGTAACTTGCTCTGTCAAATCGATATTATCGATTTTTCATGATTTTAACGATTGAAAACGGAAGTCCGCCATTGTTGTTTATTTTTAGCATGAGTTTATTGTACAGCTGAGAAAACACATCCACCTGATCCACGAGTGATCAGCAGACAAAATGAGAAATGTGGTAACTATTACACACGCAACGTTCCCTCTAAAACCCTTTATTTTGTACATAACAACAGAAACGGTTCAGTTACATTCAAGTCTCACAGGCAAGTATCACGAGAAATACAACCGTAGATAAAGATTCCCTAGCCTAAATTTAAGACATTTCTTCAAATCGGGATTCAGGCTAATCCCTCGATAAATTTCAACGTTTTCCGTTATCAATCGATAAAAATCACTTGATTGCTAACGATTTTTACCGATTTCGTTTCTTATCTTTTGATTACTTCGGGATGAAACTACACTCCGAACTACACGAACGTTATTTTGAAAGGGTGGGAGATCTAAATCCTGAAAAGCTGAGCGCCTACCTGGCCAATATCAGCCATCACTGAGAAGAAGATTTTAAACCTGGTTTTAAAGAAAAGATATTAAGATTTTTTAAAGATTTATTTAAAAGTGATAAATGTTTGATCCTTTGAATCTCAATCGCAACTCAATTGTCAATAAATCTGCTGTTTTATGAATTCAGTTTTCATTTTCTGATCAACAGATGTATCAGTTCCGATATAAATTGATGAAATCGGTGAAAATTAAAAAAATCGATAAACGAAACGAATGTGTCATCGATTTTTACAAATTGATCGATATTGAATCGATATCAATCAAATCAGATTTACCGATTTTTATCGATTGACCACTCCGGGATGTAAGACCCTAAAGAAAGAAGGCCATGCCTTCCGAAATATTGGTAAAAGAAACAAATATTTTCGACCGTAAAATCAGCCTTGCTTCTTGTGTTTCTTTATTATACTTTACATATTAGGATCCAGTCCTTCTCTTTTGTAAGTTGGTCCTTGCTTTCAAAATTGAATTTCCTAAATTTATTGACGTTTCGTTTCCATTCTAAAATCTTTATTAAACTAGAAATACGTGTATCGCAGAACCTCTCGAGGAAGTCGGGCGGGAGGCCCGTAAAATGTCAGGGATGGGAGGGTAGGCCATTTCCGAGTTCCCCCGGGCCTCTGTTTCAAAACGAGGTTAAGTACTCAGCCTTTGATATCCCATTATGGCTCTTGTTTGATATGGAAATGATTTTTCATTCTCATGCAAATAAAACTCATTTTCTCAAGAGAGGCTGTGCACTTAGCCTCAATTTGAAAGTGAGGGCTTTTGAAACTCGGAAGTGGCCTATTGGGAGCTGAGATGTACTCAGGGTACGTCAACCTCGTTCCTCAGTTCTCTCTCCTGTCCGATAGGATATTTGTTTCTCGATTTCCTTCCTACCGTTCGATTGGGAAATCCGAAAAAGGATTTGAAAAACTGTCAGCTTAAGAAAAACGGTCTTGCATACGCATCCATAATTAGCAAAAACAAGACCGCTGTCCACGAGAATAGTTTTGTAAATTCTTTTTCGGATTTCCCAATCGAACAGTAAAAGGCAAGAGCCAGGAAATCCATGAAATCCGGACTTGAATCCACCCTGTGGACAGATTTCAACCTCGTCCCCAGGGCGCTTCTCCCTTAGAATTCCGGATTTCAAAATCTAAATCCGGATTTCCCAATCGAACGCAACCTCAGATGCACTCAATCTCCAAAAACGAGAAGTCCAAAAAAACTACTGCAAAGCTGATTCCAGTAACAACGTGTATTGTTTTTTATAACAATATTTCGGCTGGCCATACCAGCCTTCTTCAGATTTACAGATGTTACTGAACTTATGTAGCAATCACAATATTATAGAGATGGAGAATGTCGCAATAAAAATTGTTTGAAAGGGAGAGCCGGAAATGACGTCGAAACAACACCAATGCGGAGTCTCCATGAAATAACATCGATGCCCATGATGATTTGATGGAAGCAGGAAAGTCGGATTTGTTGAAGACCTACGGCTTAAAATGTCTCAATAATCATGGATTAGATTAACTGCAAAAACCGTGGACGAAGATCCTGCTAGTTGTAAACGTTGTATCTCGGCATTGGTGTTTTTTCGGCGTCATTTCCGCCTCTCCCTTTTAAACAAGTTTTATTGCGACATCCTCCATCTCTATAATATTCAGGGGCACCCAAAGTCAATTTTCGGAAAATATCTGTTCGGAAGACAATTTTAGATCTAGAATTTTCGGAACATTTGTTGTAAAATTCCTTGCTTGCCTGCCTCTCCTAGGATTTTCGAACATCTAAAAAATGGTATAATTGCCCATTTTTAACGGAGTTTTACCCTAAAAAGGTCAACTAGAATTTTCGGGAGCCTTTTTTCTGGCTGTAATTTTCGAAAAGGTAAGTTTTGATCCCTATAATTTTCGGATCACTAGAATTTCAGGGAGGAAATCCGAACAGATAAAAACAATGTAGGGGATAAAAATATGCCTGTAGCTATATCTACCGTTTAAAAACTAAAATGCGTTTAAAAATACAATGTTGAAGTGGTTTTGAACTATATTCTCGTTGGGTGCCCCTGAATATTGCGATTGCTACACGGTTTTCTCAACTCAATCGCGATTGGAACCCAGTGCCCATCTGAAAATCTTCTTCTTTTCCGCAAGAAAGCTGGGACGACTTTGACCCAGGTTCTTACGACTAATACGCGTGCGGTGAACTGGTCAATCTCCGTTTTGATTGGTTAATAGAATAACAAACCAAAAAACCGTACTCTTTACCAAAATTGACTCCAAACGAACTTTTCCTTTCCGTTTAGTGAATAGTTTTTCAGTCCTTTTTCGTACCTTTTGATCCTAGAAAACTTTGTGCCCGATGGCCTCGGTAAGTGTATTGGACTCAGCTTTTCGCCAAGTTGCAATTACATCCTTTGATCATTGTCATTTTTGTGGTTTTCAGACAAGTTCGAACGTCGAAAATCTTCATCCCCAAATCATCAAGCAAGTTTCCAAAGAACTAACCAGTTTAACAAACGATCCTCCAGAAGGGATTAAGGTTTTTGTCAACGAACAGGATATAACAGACATTCAAGCAACGATAGAAGGACCTGGTATGGTTTTTTCGTGACGTTTTTGCTTTTGAAATCTACGTATTTTCTCTCTTAATAGAGGTGCAATGGTGTATAAACTTACCCTGCGACGGCGGCTATGCATTTACACCAGAAAAGCTTTGTATTCTCTTGATTGATCGCCACCCCCGTTTAAAAAGTCAGCTCTTATGTTTTCCGTGTCTCTTTTTTAGCCGGTACACCGTATGAAGGAGGACTTTTCCGTGTGAAACTCGTTTTGGGAAAAGATTATCCAACTGCTCCTCCAAAAGGTGAACTTAAGTTTGTACTTATAAAGATCAATAAATGCTTTTGAGCTTAGTAAATTTACGTTTTGAAGTAGATCTGTTTTGCATGTCAGTTTAACATAGCGTGCACTGCGTGTAACAGTTACATGTACATGCAGTCACATTTTGTATTGGTTGTAGTTTGTTGGTTGTCAGATCATGAATCAGCATTCAAGTCTTTCATTTAAGAATATCCCATACATTTCATTTTATTAACCACAGTTTCTACTATTAAGCATTAAGTATATGAGCTTACATGCATTGTTGGATGAAAAATTCACTTATCATGTGTAGTAAGTAATTCTTTAGTTAACCATAGTTTGTTTTGTAGAACCAGTTTTTGGCCTTAACAATCTCTAAAAATTTAAGACTTCTGTTGGCTTTGCTACATTATTTTGTGAAAACTCTCCTTTCCAGGTTTTTTCTTGACTAAAATATTCCACCCAAATGTGGCCAGTAATGGAGAAATCTGTGTTAATACACTCAAAAAAGACTGGAAACAAGATCTTGGAGTGAAACATATTTTACTGGTAAGTCTATTACAATACTACATTGTTGTTATATTGGCGTTCTGAGAACTGCAGGACCTTTTTTGTTTGCGTATCATGCAGGCCTATTTATGAGGGCTTAGTCAGCTAGTTTGACTGCCAGTGCCTAAAAAATTTTCTTTGGCAAGCAAAAAATGGTCTTTCTTGCCAGCTTGACCAGCTAGTCACTATGTTATGTCTATTAGTAATAACACTTAGTGAGGCAACCAAAAACTAGGAACAGTCTTATTATGTCCCGTACCTGCAAAAAAAGTATCATTAAAGAAACCAGACACACTATTTATCAAAGATAGCAGTGGGAAGAACAACGAGACTAGCCAGGTATCCCTGTGGATGGGCAGGGCAGAATGACATTGGTAGACGAAAGGTTCACAGAGGCCTGTCAACCTACTAAGTCCCATCTATGCCTGGAGATATTGAACTTTGGGAACTGGAATGTGTATATAATGTATGCAAAAAAAAAAAATAGGTAAGGCAGTGCAAGGAGATGTGCGAATACAACATCGACATACTAGGAATACATGAGTGTAGATGGACTGGTTCTTGGGTTTGAAAAAAGTCGCATCTGTTAGTCCAGGACAAGTAGATTTTCTTGCTGGGTAAGTAATGTTTAACCCTTTAAACCCTAAGACTTAAGAGTGATCAGTACCAAATTTCTCCTTGTAATATCAATGCTTTATAAAACAGCGTGGTCATGAGAATTATGGACATGATCACACATGATGAATTTGCTTGATATTTTATCAACTTCTACCTACTACTTCTTAGGGTTTAAAGGGTTAAAGCTTACTTGGCCGATGGGCAAGGCTCCAGGCAAGTTATTCTCTAACAAAATCATTTATTAAGACAAGCCAGAAGTGGCTCCAAACACACAAAGTGTGGGACCACCTTGAATTCAATATTTTTCAAGCCCTGGAGAAATGGTTATGTTCTCAGGCAGAGATCCATGGTAGTGGAGATATACAATGATGTCCAAACTAGCAAAGTCATGCTGGAATCGTTGCCATTTGATGAGCACATTAAAAAAGCATGTTTCTATTCCAAATACATGAAGCTAACGTTTATTGAAGTCTTGAGTGCCAACAATGGAAGCTGAGGAAAACGAGATCGATCATTTCTATGAGCAGCTCCAAAATGTCTTGGAAGCTTTTAGAAAGCATGATATGCTCATCTTATGTGGTAATATGAATCCTGCAGTTGGGGCTTCAAACCTTAACAGATTAGGGATATTGGGAGCTCATGAAACAGGCAATATCAGCGACAATGACGGGAAGCTCGTTGAGTTTTGCAAGATGAACAGCTTTGTCATCACTGTTACCATATTCCCTCACAAGGAGATGCTCAAGACCAAAAAAAATGATGGACATTCCCCTATGGCAGATATCACAATCAGATTGATCATTTTCTCATTGACAAGTTCTCCAGGAAGTCTGTCTCATTCTGTGATACCAGGGTTGTGTGGGGTGTATATGGATGCCTATGATCAGCATCCTGTGTGAACCACTATAAATCTCAAGTTAAAGAGGACAAACCAGCCACCCAACTCCAGAACCAGAATTGAGGAGAGAGAGCTGCAAAACCAAGCAGTCAGGAATGTTTGTTCTGTCATGCTAGGAAATGAATTTGCAGTCCTTAAGGTGACAGATGAAAATGCAAGCTATTAGTGCACAATGGAATTATTTCAGCTAGGCATTCAGCAGCACCGCTGAAAACGTCCTTGGTAGGAAGAAGAGGAACTCCAAACCATGGATATTTCCCGGTCGATCTTGGTCAACTGTCAAGGAAAGGAAAAAAAAATGAAGAGCAAGATAGCTATATAATGCAAGATCAATGAGAATCCATCAACAACTTAGCCAGAGGGTGTAGTGAAAAGCAAAGACAAGGATGTGAAATCAAGGTTAAGGACTAATTGGAGGGTTTAGTTGGAAAATCACGGACAAATTGCAGCTGAGAGCAGAAACATGAACAGGGTTGCCACGGTCAGGGAAAAGTCAGGGAAAACTGACAATTTTTTAAGGTCAGGGAAAATCTTTGATATTGTCAAAGTCAGTGAAAAGTCAGGGAATTCTGTTTTCCGGTTTACAGTTCATAAGTTTTCTTTCGGAAAAACTTTGAAATGCAAAGCGATAAAATTTTTGACACTCTATGTCTTCGTAGTAGTTGTGGTCAGTGGTTTTGTTGTGAAAAAACGAAAAATATGCCTGCAAATAAACATGGATTGTTTCTCATTACAAGAAAAAACTGTTTAAATTGAAAACAGGAAATTTTTAACTTTCTATGTCTGATGAAGACACAGACCACTATATAGTGAACAGCCACTAGAACAGTGGAGGTGCTGAACAGTGTTCCACCAAAGAACCCCACCTTGATCGACTTCTACCAAATGCAGTAGATTGATCTAGTATCAGCATAGAACCCATCAGTCTGAAGGAATTCCAGGGAGCAACGCTCTCTCTTAGAAATGCAAATCGGATAATGAGGTTAATATATTGGCCCAGCTTTGAAAGACGGATCTGGATGTGTCATCGCACAAGTTACAGTGTAGACAGCATCATCAAGTAAAAAGATAAAGGAAAAACAACCACATTTTACGTTGACAACTTGTGACAGTGTAATAGCTGATAAACTTCTCCATCAATGCTCTGTTTTAAGGGTATTTAAAGCTAGTCAAAGCTACACAGAAAGGAGAGAAGTTGAAACAAAGGTGTGATGTCACCATGGATCAAACTCGAGACCTTGTGTACCGAAGGCCGCACTAACCAACTGCACTACCCTTGCTCAATATTTTTGGAAGGAGGAGGTGGTCCTGAGTCAAGCAACTATAATGACTGAGAATGTCAATACCTGAATGAGGTGGAAGTTAATGGAGCCGCTAGAAGATCTTGATTTTGGATATGTTATTACTCTCATCTCCACTAAAGCTACACAGCAAATGCAGAGAAAACCACAAACTTAAAGACACAGCATCAAGGATTGGCTAAAAAATCGGCAGAAAGAAGATGGCAGTCCTTAATAAGGTCAATTGCAGAGGAAGAGCTGGTTGACCGATGATAAGGTGATAAAGGAGGTTGGTGACTTTGTTTACTTGGGTGCAATATTCAGTAATAAGGGAGGAGCAAACAAGGATATGCAGAACTGACTGGCGAAAGCAAAGTCCTCATTTGGCAGGCATCTGAAGTTCCAAACGGTACTACAGTAAGATTTAGATGTACAACACACTAGTAAAACCAGTCTTACTCTACGGTAGCAAGACATGGAAGATCAATATCAATGACAATTAAAGTTGGACTTGTTCTATCACAAGTGCCTTGAGAGGATTTTGGGTATCTACTGGCAGTATGTGTTGTCCATTGATGGGCTAAACAAATTATGCAGATGTGAAAGGATCAGCTGAAGAAGAGATGCTTCAAATGGTTTGGACATGTCCTGTGTATGTGGACAGGACATCACCGTGTCAAGGCACTTTCTTGGACTCCTGATAAAAGGCAAAAAGTTTTTTTAGATGCCCTAGGATAATGTGGGGCAAAAATGGAGAGAGTAATGGCAGGATAGTGGTTGTGGGACCAAGCAAGAACTTGTGCCAGGGATGGGCTAGTTTGGGAAGGCGGTGGGGGGAAGTGTGGAGGCCTTATGTGCAGCAGAGTACAAAGAGGCAAGATCAGGTGATTGTTCGAAATCACACCATTGTGTAAAATCTGAAATACTGTATTGCTGATGTCAATCAGCATAGCCTCTAAAATGTGTAAAGGTAAACTAATTATGTGAAATTAAGTATGTGTAAGTGGACTGGGAGAGTGAGTTTTAACCAGCATAGGATGACTTGGGCCTGCATTAGTTGTACATGGATACACGTAAAGTCATATGCATATTTCTTTCTTCCTTTTTTTTGTGCAATGAGCCTCACATTAAATTTTGCAAACAGGACAATGGTGATCTGAAGATCAGCCATAAAATTGTTTCTGGGCCAGTGAATAATTAAGTAGATCACCTACTAATCTGCCAGTGGCCATAAAGACAAAAGGAGATTGTGAGCATTTTTCATAGACTGTATTATGCTTTCATAAGCTGGTAGTGATCACCAAGTCATTCTCTGTTGTCCTTGGCCTTTGTCCCCTGCACATAATTCATAACTAATCTACCGTTACTGAACGACATTTCTTATAATTGGCCTATCAATTATTTCCCAAGTTATCTTCACTGGTCCCTAATCATTATCTTCGTTTCTAGTCAAAAGCCTGGGGATGCCTGATGGCAAGTGAGAATCAACTAACTTTTGTGCGTTTCTTTGTGATGATTTGGATCAAGGTTCATGAAAGGAACCGATAAATCCACTCTGGGCAAAGATTCATCAGTTCCTTTGATGAACCATGATCAGAGTGCTGGTCATCATCACTGATCTTGATCCTGGTTATCCTGAAGGAATACACCCAGAGAGTGTGAATGGTGCAAGTATCTTAAAAATCATCACTCAGAACTAAATTTTACTTGTTATTTCATATTCTAAAAGGCTTAGGATGTCTCCCTTGTTGTTTACATTACCCTGATACGACCTTCCCATTATTATGACCAGGTTTTTGTAGCCCAATGTTGATTGTATTAATGGGGTTCCACTATAACAGACTATAGCAAATTCTAAGATGTAGTGAATGCCCTAATTCTATGCCAGTTTTTGTAACATGGTGTGAAAACCCAGCTTTAAAGCTCTGCCTTTTATTTTTTCCTACAGACTGTCAAATGCCTTTTAATAGTCCCAAATCCTGAGTCAGCTTTAAACGAGGAAGCTGGCAAGCTCTTACTAGAGAAGTATGACGACTACTCAAAACGAGCACAGTTGTTTACTGATATTCACGCAAAGATCAAGTTAAAAGCGGAAAGCTCAGAGAAGGGAGATGGAGTAGAAGTGATGATGCAAGGGATCAAAAGAGCCAGTGACAAAGCCCTGGATAAGAAGAAAAAAGAGAAAAAGAGGGCACTGAAAAGACTTTAACAGATGCTAAAAGCTACTATGAAAATTGCAAACTGAATTTATCTAGGTTGTCTACTGTACAGTGTAAATAAATGTCAAAGCTGTGTCCTTATAATCAATATGCAAGGAAATTATGCCATATTGATGTTAAAGTGACTTGGACTGTTGGACATAGCCTGTGCAGTCATTTCCTTTCCAGTGCACCTTAAGTGCAAGAAAGAAGAAAAAGTGGGAATTTTACATGGGAGGAAGAGAAGGAAACCTGTGGCAAGCCCAGACATTTTGAAAAACGCCAAGCATTGCGATTGATCACTTACTATATGCATTGTAAATTTATTGTGGTCTATAAAAAGTATAATTTCCTACATAACATCTAGTTTGTCTGGACAATTTTTAGCAGAAAGAACAGGGTGGTTGCAAGTCTTTTTCTCCTTCCTACTGTTTTGTTTTGTTTTATTATTATTATTATTATTATTATTATTATTATTATTATTATTATTATTATTATTATTATTATTATTATTATTATTATTATTATTATCATTATTATGAATATGGCTGTCACTAAAGGGCAGGGGATGGGTATTTCCCCAGTCACTACAAGCATGAACCCTGGCTACTTTCATAGGAAACAATAAAGGGAAGTATATAAATAAAAAGATCTTCCTAGCTCTTCAATTCTCTTTCTACGCAACTTGATATCTTAGTGACAGCCTTCAGAGGGGAAATGACTCTACCAACATGGGCTATGACTGTACAGGAATCACATTGTTTATTGATGCCGCCTAAAGTGTAACAAGGTTACAAAACATTTTTATCTGTATGCAGTGTTTCTTTCCTTCTTTGCCAATTAGTATTTGCTACCTAAGCTAATTGCCTTTAGATACCCGCGATTCGTAAATTGTTGACAGTCCTCTATTTTTCAGTATTTGTATTTATAGCCTGCGTAGCTGGTTTTTTTTTTGGAGGGGGGATGGGGGGTGTCTGTTTTTTTTTAATTTTGTGCTTCGTAAAGTAGGAGATACATCCGAGCGAAAGCTGAACCAAGGTCGAAACAGACCATCGTAATGATCGTTTTCGCATTTGACCTCAATCGCGCGCGGCCGTATAACAGGGGGCACCCAACGGTAATTTTCGGGAAAATATCTGTTCGGAAGACGATTTGAGAACTAGAATTTTCGGAACATTTGCTGTAAAATTTCTTGCTTGCCTGCCTCTCCTAGGATTTTCGAACATCTACAAAATGGTATAATTACCCATTTTAAAAGGATATTTACCCTGAAAAAGGCCACCTAGAATTTTCGGGAGCCTTTTCCTGGCTGAAATTTTCGAAAAGGTAAGTTTTGATCGCCATAATTTTCGGATCACTAGACTTTCAGCTAGGAAATCCGAACAGATGAAAAGTTTTTAGGGGATAAAAATATGCCTTTACCTACCGTTTAAATACTAAAATACGTTCAACACTGCTATGTTAAGTGGTTTTGAACTATATCCTCGTTGGGTGCCCCTGGTATAAATACGAACCAAAAACGAAAATCACACCAAAAACATCGCCAGCTACGCAGGCTATTTTCTGCTAGCGGGGAACGCAGGCTATTGTATAATTATTATTTGATGAAAGTGCGTACGGATCTAAGTGTCACAACAGAGGGCAAGGGGTTGGTTTGCTTAAAGAATACCTATAGACTGCCTAGTAATTCAGACCATAGCACCCCGGGTATCATCTGTTTCTCTTTCTAAGTAGAATTATGTGATACAACTGAAGTCTCTGCATCAGTACCGGGTTAAAAAACCGACAATATTAAGTTGAAATTGTGGCTACCCTTTGTTTTCTTATTTACCAGACAGCAACTTTTTCTCAGTGAATTTCGATGCAATATTTGCGTAAATCCTCGTGAAGAGGACCGTGAATGGCACACTTGTATTAGAGTAGCCTGTTCCAGGCTCTCAGATAGTGGGGAAGACGCGAAAGTAAAGGGGCACGGGGCGGAAAAGAGGAGATAGAGTTTCCTCACGTTCATTAGCCTGTTCCAGGCGTTGAGATAGTAGAGCGCGGGAGAAAAATTTACGAAGAAAAAAAAGAACGAGGGGAGACTAGAAGGGGAAAGGGGAGAAAACTTCTCTCGCTCTCGCCCCCGTTTTCCCGGTGTACAACTTAACTCGCTCCCCCACTTTCCGCCGCGCTCTACTATCTGAACGCCTGGGACAGGCTACATGTTCATTATTTTCGTGTTGGCGCTTTCTCAATTCAGCGGACCTGACTATCTTGAAGCCTGGAACAGGCTAGTATTAGAGGGGCTGTGTGACGGTAATCGAGATCATTTTGTTAATATTACGGCTATTCCCGGGGGGGTACTGAACAAAATTTTATAGTTGGGAGGCTCCGCCCCGAGATCCAACCCCTTACCTTTTTATATACCATTTTTGACAGAGAAGGTCCCCCTTCCGTGTACCTTTTTTTGGTCCACTCACAGACCGCAATGACAGATTTCCTTGTCCTTTCATGATAAACCTCAACCAGGGTAGCCCCTACCCTTTCACATACCTGAAATCTGAAAGAGGCACCCCTTGCGGGCGGAGCCCTCCCCCATAAGCCCTTATAGAGAGTACTGCCCCGAGCAGCCATTACGCTTCCTCGTGCGGTACAGAACTTAAATAAAGTTAACGAAGAAATTAATTGTAAGCGACAAAATCGCGGGTTCTTGCCCAACAAATATACTTTCTGAGCATTGTATCAAACGTTACAAAGAACAAAAACGAACTTTGAAAAACAGTTATGCTAATTTTAGTTTGCAAAAACACACAATTTCAGTTCGTTTAATCTTCAAGAATACAGTTAACACCCGCATAGTAAGAACCTATGATTTCGAGGTTCAGGTTGATCAAGATCTTACTTTAACTTACAGGGAGCTTAGTGAGAAACAGCCTGAAAATGTTCGTAAAATTTATTTCACAAATATTGTACATTATTATTCATTCAAAATATATCTTCGTTTCTGATTGGCTCAAATCACGCGGCTAATTCTTCACCCAACCGTTGACGCGTTGACCAAATTGGGTAGCCTGTGAATATACAGCCGTCTAGCCTGTCGGCCAGGATGTTTCGCAGGAGAAAAGAAACTAGCCTGCAGTGCAGGCGTATAGTGGGCGGGCGAAAGCTGCTTGGTTACGGTTCGTACTGTTGTAACCGCCATCTTGTTATGACGGAGGAAGATTAGGGAGAGTAAAAATAGTAACCCTAAGGGTAGGTGCTAGGGCGAAAGAAGCAAAGAGGGGAGGGGGAGGGGAGAAAAATACCCTGCTCCTTTTGACTCACCCCATTTTCTACCCTCTTTTCGAGTTTCAACATGCGCTTTCGCGAGCCCGAAGAAAACGCATGCACTGCAGGCTGAAAAGAAACCGTCCCTAGCGGCTAGGGCGAGAAGAGACTCGGCTAGCTGTATTCGCAGACTCAAATTTGGAAAAGGTTTGCGATATGCGAATGCGTTGTACTGTCGCCCGATGGATTTTTCATAAAATTCCTCCACCGGCTGTGATAATAATATAGCTACGCTTAAAACACATTATTTTTCCGTTTCTATATTTTTGGACATTTCCTTTGTTGATCTGAATAGCTATTTTGTTTAGAAGAATTGTGATACACATGTACATACCTCGTTCTTTCAGCCACTGATCAGGCAAAATCAGTTAGGGAACTGATTTTACACGTAAGCGAAACGAACCGAGACGTTGGCGAACAGGACGTTGGCGAAACGACTCGTAGGCAAGGACACTGACCAGGCCTCGCTGTCACCTGGAAAGCCGATTCTGACTGATATCGCTTATCGCGTAAATAATGTAATCCCACCGATAAATTCTTTCCCTAAGCAGCACGGCAAGCAACACGATGAAACCCTAATCTAGGAATAAACTGCATTTTCAATTAATGCCACTTATAACGTACTTATGTGAGGTCAATTAACTTACTAATCGGCCAAAAATTAAAGTTTGCCAAAACAAACAAAATGGTCCACAAATTATCCTGCGTTGCAGTATATAGGAGCTCCTCGTAACTGGTGTCCTCATTGATACACATCATTGTTTTCATTATTTCCCATTGTTTCGCGGTTAGGGTATCGAACCAATTGGCTTTAGGGTTAGAGAGCTGCTACGTGACACCCAGTTGCAGGCGGACTTGTCATTTGAGACGTATTAGAGAACTCGATATACGTATACATAGTCTATATCGGGGTTTTAGACTGTCTATGGCCCAGGCTCCCGGGGGGTGTACTCGATATATCCCTGGGTGGGGAGGTGCGGCGCGGCCCCTCGTATCCTGACCCTGTTTAAGACAAATATCGCTGATTTTCCTACCCTGTTTAAGACAGAATTCCGATTTTTGATACCCTGTTTAAGACATTTATCCTGTTTAAGACAAAAATTGATAAATCGATACCCTGATTAAGACAAAAAATGATAGATTCGATACCCTGTTTAAGACAAAAATCCCGAAAAACATACCCTGGCTGGCCGCACGTCCCCATTAAGCCCTTATAAGGGAGTACCCCCCCCCCCCGGGCCCAGGCTATCCACAAATACGCGGAAGAAAGTTCCAACAGCGAGAAATTGATCTTGACCAATTCACAAATGAAGATCGAACTCGTGGTCATTGCTGCTGCGATTACCCGGGTCCGATTCCCGGTCCGATTGTTATGCGCGGGGTACGTTTTTTGGCAGCAGAGGTTCAAACACTCGCCCAAGCTACAATGGAGGACAAAAATCCTTGGAACGGTTATGGAAAACCTTCCTTCCACATCCTTAACTTATCAAATGTTCAGATACCGCGACTGGTCCACCCCTCCCCCCTCCAAACAATGTTGGGGTGAAGAAACACTTTTAGGACAGGGTAAAGGGTACAGGGGTGCACAAACTACAACATTGCTTGGGGGAGACGGGGAAAGGGGGAAAAATTAAGGCAGATCGTGTTAATTGTCCTAAAAATTTTAGAAAAAGGGAGAGAAACTTCTCTCTATCTGCTCCCCACTTAGCCTGCGTAGCAAGCGTTTCCAATCGAGTTATTGCGCGAAAGTTAGAGCGGAGTTGCTCTTGTCCCAGTTTTCTTGACGAACCTCGCGAGGAAACGCTTGCTACGCAGGCTACTCCCCACTTTGTGCTTTAATCTCCTCCCCCATAGCCCCTAAGTAAGGCCAGCTTTCGCCGTGTATACTCGGGCGGAAACGCGCAACAGCACGAAACTGAGGCTATCAGGATGTTTTGTCCAAGATTTCCATATTAGGCAAGTATCCGTCCCATTCCTGCTCGGAAGTTTGCTCGAAACAGTCGGACATATTTGTTTTTACTTCCCACTGTCTTCATGAAGATCTAGGAGTTGACGTTGGGGCAAACCGGATTGGAAATAGGTTGAAAATGGAGGCAACTGCTAGACACGAATTCAATGCTACTGCAGATGACGAGCTTTCTTTTAAGAAGGGAAGCATTGTGAAGGTAAAACGGAAGCCAGAAATACCGTGTAATTTGGTTGTCGACATCCTATCATTCGCCCAATACAAAAGAATTGCGTATGTTCCTTGTACGTTTCATTGACTATTTTTGCCACTTTTTAATTTAAGATCATTCGGAAAGGCGAGGATAAAAATTGGTTCACTGCTGAACAAGACGGACGCGAAGGGCTTGTTCCAGCGAACTACATCGAGCTAAAGCCGCACGAGTACGTGAGCAAGAATTTAAACTTAATTACTTAAATTAAGCTTATTAGTCTCTATAAGTTTGGCACCTTAAATTTTCCACAAGTTAACTGATATTTTTTTGATAGTCACATATTCCCAGGACAGAATCGTAGAAAAACAGAAGGTCAACCCCTTCTTTTTAATCAATAAAGGTGTACCCTTCTTACACCAAATTTATCATGACGAGTGCAATCGGTAAAATCAGAAACTCACCAATCGTAAACTCGATAACTATCGATAATTCCTGATTGATTGATATCGTTTATGTCTGTCAATTTTACCTCGTGAAAAAAAATTGAAAAAAGGGGTACCCTTTATTTGGTGATGGCGTCTTTCACAAAATTTATCCTGACGAGTGCAATTGGTAAAATCCGATCTTAAAATCGATAACTATCGATAATTCCTAATTGATTGATAGGCCATCCCCCCTTTTTTTCGTTTTTTTCATATTGGGTCGGTTGGTCGGATTGAGAAAAAAAAAAAAAACTAAAAAAGTTTCAGAATAGGAGGCCTTGGTACCCCAGGACGACGTTAAAAGTTAACATTCACAGATTTGGATTAACAAAATACACAATATACTGTAAAAAATGTTCCTGTTTTTGTTCCTGTTTTTCTTTATGCTGTTACTTTGCTCATTTTTCAGATTAAAAGAAATATTTCAAGTGAAAAACGGTTTAACGACGTCGTTACTTTTTTTTGGAATGTGCCAAAAATTTGGGTCAGTCAGACGACACTAAACAGAGAAAAAAAATCAATATTTAAAAAAAACTTTGACAAAGATATTGGAGTAATCGATAATAATCTTCCTCTATCGATTTTTATAGTTTTTCATTTAATCAATCAATTTTATTGATTACTATCGATTGTTATTGATTGTTGACTTTGTTGATTGCACTTGTCGACACGTGTGGTGTGGATCGATGATTTGTTTAAAGTTTTGTTGGCAGTGTTTGAAAACAACATAAGTTTACCAGGAATGATGTTCTTTAGCTTGGGCACTGAGTGATCTGATGGTTTCCCGAATGCAATTCTGGTGTCACCCTTTACAGTGGTGTTTGTAGTATTGGGAATTGGTTGAGGTTTCATAAATCATCATCAGAAGTAATCAGAGTGATCATCGGTTATAATTTTTAAGAATTCCTTTTTTTTCACCTGTGTGCTAGTCAAAGTATTATTTATAAACTTTTTAGTTTTATGATTGTGGACCACTTTTATCAATGCACAATCAAATGTGAACCAAATCAATAGAGAGAATTAAACGTCGCTCATGTACCACGTTTTTCAATCCAACAAAAACATGCAAAATGTATCAGAAAAGGCTCATCAATGGATTTTGGTTGCATTACCAGTTTTGTCATTTTATTTATCAACAAGAAATATTTCTATTAAGTTTTTGCAGTAGTCAGTGAGACCCTCTTATGGGGGTTACTTATGTCCCTAGTCTGCAGAATTTCAAAACCTGTTATTTGGTGTATTGAGGAGGAAGTCATGTCACTGTGGGTGTGTTATTATTGTATTGGTCTTTTCTCTGTTGCTGTCACAGTTTCAACTTGACTTCGTGTCGTTTGTCACCATTTCTGCTGTCCTATGTCACTGCTCCAAGACCATGTATGTCGCTTGTCAGAATTTTACCCCAACAGGGCTTTGTCAATTGATCATTTTCCATAATCAATAATTATTATTCCATTGCTTTGGCCTTTCATTCGATCAATGATATCATCATTGATGATTAGCACACTACTACAGTGGGAGATTCCTGCTCATCCCGAACTCAAGACAATAGGCAAGTCAGGCCTCATAAATAATTATTGTCTTAGCCTTGTAGGCTCTTTTTGGCACTGGTCTCAAGTGTTTTCTCTTGATCTACCATGGTACTAGGTGGTTGGATATGGTAAACCATTCCACTTTGTTTAAACTGAATCACTCTGAGTTAGGAAACTTTTAATGTAATACATCTTTGCCAGAGCAAGGGGTCAACATACCGCTAGTGTAACAATATTAATAAGTGAAGTCTTGATTAATTGCTATTGTGACCATTCCACTTGATTAACCATTCTTCACTTCAGCATTTTGATTTTGGCTTGATCATGGTAAAAAGGTTCCTTCAGGAAAAGAGTGTCAAAATTTCTTGTGGTCTTTTTCTCAAATCACCTATTACTTTATGAAATAGTCAGACGTTAATTGGTGTGTTAGACTGAGGAACTAAGACGTTTCTTGTTCACATGTCATTTTGTGCATCGTCGGAGACCCAGGGACAGTCAGTCAGGCGGGGAGAACAGTAGGCGCGATAAAAGTTTTTAAGCACGGGCAGAAGAGCCCCTGGTTACCCACTCTCACTCGACCATTTCCAAATGGTCAAGCGAATGCTACCCCCTGATTGGGCGCAAAAAATGCTTTGCATTATTGTGCCCAATCGGCAAACAGCATCTGGTGAGTTCTTTTCGTGAGTTTGTAGGTGACAGCTTTTGTCTCGCCATACTTGTCTGGCTCGTGCACCAAAGAAATGCGGGCAGTCAGGAAACTTTCAGTTTGATAAACTCCTCATTTCAAAATTCAGTCTACCTAAAAACAGAAACATGGGAACATATGTAAGGGTATTGGGAACATATGTAAGGATCTTTGTTAAGCCGCTTTACCAAAAATACAAGCTTGAGCTTACAACAGGTATTCAAGCCTGCATCAATCACGCTTTGATAAATATTTGTAAGGTTCAGATACCACAATGGCAACAGCCACAAAAACGTCACTTGAAAAGTGAATTCACGTTTTTTCACTCACTATCGTGATTTAATACTCCAACTTGTTTACTTTGTAAAGGCAAGCGAACTCTTCTGGAGCTGAATTCCTATCAACCATTTCCACGGTTAGAAAGAGGAAGAAAATTTTGTCATTGCTTGTTTACTTACTCCACAAAACGTGAAATTAGACTTTTTCACTTGGCAGCATGCAGTGACAGCAAAAAAAATGTGCAAGAAAAGCATGATGCTCATACCAAGTTGTTGGTTTGCGTTGTCAAGCTTATTGCTTTTTTGATACCTTGTGATCAGTAAGAAACATAATTTTCTAGGTGCAAATTTGTGAGGAATGCTCCTGCTGATAGCATCCTAAACGTTTTTCTGACTCATTGGTAGTTCCTTCGTTTCTGGTTAGGAGAGTAGAAAGTTTCCCTTGCACACACAATCTTGATGAACAAGTATGGCGAGAAAATAGCCGTTGTGTACGAACAGACAAAAAGAACTCAAGAGATGCTGTTTGCCGATTGGGCAAGATAATACAAAGAATTTTTGGTGCCCAATCAGATGTTAGCATTTGCTAGACTGTTGGAAATGGTCTGGTGAGAGTTGGTACCCAGGGGCTCTTCCACCTGTGCTTGTAAACTTTTGTCGCGCCTACTTTTCTCCTGGCCCGACTGACTGGCCCTGGTTCTCCGAGGATGCATTTTGTGTTGCACGGTTAAAATGTTGCCCTTCTACCACCCCTTGAGAGTTTCTCAAACATGGCCAACCAAGCCAGTGTTAATTCTGCAGCCAGTTTTAGGTCACTGATGTGGTGTGTACGTGTGTGTGTGTTTGTAGTCTGAATGTAACATTCTCCTCAGTCTGCATACATGTGTAGTTATTCATGTCATACCCAGCCTTACCCAACAATATTATTTCGCTTTTCGTCATTATTAAATTTCAGTTGGTTTCAAGGCAGTGTGACCAGGCAACAGGCAGAAGAAAAGCTTATGAAGCAGTCACACGATGGGGCATTCCTTATTAGGGAGAGTGAGAGTGCACCAGGTACAGCGTAACTTTTGACCGAGACTGGGTCGGCTTTGTGTCAAGTTGTACTGTAGGATTGTTTTGGGCAATGCTTCAGGTAGCGTAAGAAAACATCTGATTTCGAAATGGCATCTACAGAACAGGTGCAGGAATTCCAGGACAGAGTTCCAGAGTGCAAATCAGCTCAAAGTCAACCCAGTCTCACATTTAACCTCAAGATGACCAGTAAAAATATTATACCATGCACAGAATACAATTGCCATTTTTGTTTCTTTGCATCATGGAATCGCACTTATTGAAACATGTCAATAGTAAATACAAATTTTTCTGTCAATCAAATGTGTCCTATTATTTGTAGGTGGAAATTGGTGAATTGTCTTGATTGTTTTGGAGACAACAGAAGAACATCTTGTTTTTTCTAAATTTGTCAACTAATCCCATAATTGCACATATTTGAGTTTTTTGTGTGATGTCATGTTTCTTTACTGTATTGAGCCTTGATGAAACAGCTGCTGTACACTCTAAAGGAAATCTTTAGTCTAGAACGCTAGCAGGTTAGTAATATTGTAGAAAACAGAGCTTCTCTTTACCTTCATAAAAACAATACCAGAATTTTTTTATTGTTTAATTAGTTTTACTGTAAACATTTGGTTGGTGACACTTTTTTGCGTAATGCACAGATCTGGAAAGTTAACACTAGTCAATGTTAAGTAGCATCATTAACTGTATACTAGCGTAAGTAGTGATTAGCTAATGCTTAAAATGCGTAGTAATTTAGTTTTTTTGTTTGTTTTGTAGGAGATTTTTCATTATCTGTGAGGTAAGATTTTGTCATTTTTGGTTAAAGAGAGGGCAAGAGTGTTAGTTTTAGAATAAATTAGTGAATAATTTGGTGGATTCAAGATAAGGAGTAAACAATTTATTGGATATCTCAAGTCTCAAACAATGTTTTGCATCACTGTTCACATGTCCCTCTCCTTCCTACAAGGCAAGTGTTACAGAGTTAATTTGCTCAAGTCAATAAAGCTCCCATCTTTCTGCACCATGTTGGATTATTATTCCAAAGTTTGTGTTACCAAGAGTTTCTTCTTCTGCACTTCTGCATGCTACCTTATGCTCGCTTTATTTTGTAACTTACCCACCCTTTTTCTCATGTTAATAGAACACTGTTGCTAGTGGAGATTGGGACCAATAGTGGACAGGCATTAAAATTTACAAACACTCATAGTTAGTCCCCTCTACGAACTATGAAACACTTTATAGAAAAAGAAATCAGTGAAAACAAGGAACTGCACTGAAAGTCAACGAAAAGTGAAAAATCACAGAAGTCAGCATAAAAAAAAGGCAAATTGACAAATCTCACTCTATTTTTCAGAAGATCTTGTAGTTGGTCAAAATATTAATTTGTACCTTTGCGCTTCGAAGCCAACACAGCAGCTATGGAAACCCTGAAACACTTTTCCTTGCTATAAAAAAACAAATGTTCACAAAAGGAAAAGCTGCTCTGCCCACTAAAATAGAAAAATGCAGATATCAAGCTCAAAAACTGAAAACCAAACCCAGATAGGGCTAATCAGGCCGCAAGTGGCAGCCATTGCTCCCTCTTAGTAGAATGCAAAGCAGTCTCCCAGCTTTTGCTAGAGCTCTTTGCACCATTTCTAGAACAAAATAATGTGTGATTTTGTGGGTGACAGTTTTGCCACCTCTCTCATTTTTTGCTTGGGGATGGGTCATATTTCGTGTACAAAACAATTCACTGAAGGTGATCATTTTCATTTTTTGTCAGTCATTCCAATTTTTTATTTTTATTCTCTCACTTGCCACAAATAGCTAAAGCTAGTCTACATGATGTAAGTGGACAGTATCTATAGATACAAAAAATATGCACTCCAAAAATTTTATATTAAATTTACAAGTTAGTAAAGGAAAGTTATTTCTGTAAGTGTATGAACATAAAAGAATAAATTAAGTCAGGCTATCTGGAGTACAAAATATAAATCAGACTTTCTTCAGGCAGACCAATATCTCTGATAACCAGATTAATAAAGCACTAATTATGGTCAGGTTGACAGCTCATTTGTGGGTACTAAACTTGTTGTTTTCTGTGTTGCAGGTTTGGTGGTAATGTGCAACACTTTAAAGTTCTACGTGATGGAGCTGGAAAGTATTTCTTGTGGGTTGTAAAATTTAATTCATTGAATCAGCTGGTGGATTATCATCGCACCTCCTCTGTCAGTAGATCACAAACAATTTATTTAAAAGACATGGTAGAGGAAAGAGAGGTGGGTACCTTAACTGTAACTCTTTAGTAATCTTTTTATCAGAGGGTCAGTCGCCTTTTGCACTGTGTGTAACATACCTTATTATAGGAAATTAACGGGAATTTCCAAAATTTGCATTAATTTAGGGTGAATTGATGTTAACTTTAATTTCAGTGCCTTTAATTAAGTGTAGCGTTAATTTCCATGACCTTAATTTCCATTATTTGGACTCCAATTTCTCAATACCTTCTGACATTCTTGACACCTAAGAAAGAGGACTGTTTTTATCAGGTTGGAGTTCTGCCACTAACAGAGAAACTGTGTAGAGCTTGAAGTGGCCTGATTTCTTCCCTTAAACCCTTTGGTTAGAAGAAAGTATCCATTTCGGATTTCAAGTTTAACTTTAATCCTATTGTCTCCACAAGTTTTATTTCTTTGTAAATGTTGCATTTATTTCCTTTATTTTGAAATTTGTTACCTCTCTTTCAAGGTCATTTCCTTTATTTGAAAATTGTTTTCCACTGAATTTACGTTAATTTCCAATACCTTAATTTCATGGAGCATTAATTTCCCATAATGATGTAATCTGGTATCCAAGAAAGTTATGGTTATCACAACACCGCGGCAAAACGCACTGGGCATGAGCACAAAATTTAACATCTGGTGAGCTTTTTATTTCGGGTCTAGTATATAAACCAATTGCGTAAGCATGACATTGCCGTCGCACCGAGTTTAAAAGCAAAAAGGGCGAAACAGACAAAAAAGGGGGCGAAAAAATCACTTCATTCGAAAGCTTATATATTTTTCTAGTGTCAAACTTTTGCACCACATGGTTATCTGTTTGCACCAACAGTGAAAATGATGTTTGAAGTTTGCAGGTCGCGAGCTTCTCGACAAGATGAATTTGTTTTTAATGGCTTTCTTGCGTGCTACTGGTTTGGCATAAGTTTTTGGGAGAAGGCAATAACTAAGAAAAGAATGGCAATACTCATGAAAGAAACCAAAATAAAGACGCTATCATTATCGTTAACACTAGAGCCAGAAAATAAAATTTTAGCCCATTCAATAATTTTTTTATTATCAGAGAAAACAAGAACCCAAAACAAAAGATGGGCGGTATTTAATAACAACTTCGACTTTGATGACTGCAGTCATGAACACCCGGAGCTTTCAGTGCCAGGAAACTAAACATGCCTATAAATGACTTTCATTCAAGAAAATGCCTATTTAATTCTTTTAGATGGTTGTTCTTTGGTTGAAGACTTCAGTAATTTCAGACTATGCGGCTCGGCTGCATCTCATGCAAACAAGAAACTTCCAGCTGCTAAATACATGGCATGAAAATTTCAACTTCTAAAAGCCATCGAACCAGCTTTCGCTCTCTGATTCTGAGAATGAAAAAAATAAATAGAGTTGTCAACTTGCTGCCAACCTCAAAAGTGTAATTAAGCTTGTTTCATGGCAATCAACTCGGAAGAGTTTCGTTTCAAAACACGGTAAAACTCACTGGTAAATAAAACTACAAAGCGATTGTGTGTTATCGTTTTCCAAATAAAGCTCAAATCAGTTTTAAGACATGAAGAATGAGAAACTGAAGAACTGAAAATTAGAACTAAAATATACAAGCTTGCAATGATAACTTTTTATGTCTTAGTTTCAGCCAGGTTAAGTGAAAAATAACAGTCAAAAACTTTGTTTTCATAAATGAAAATCAGTTTACCTGACGCTCTAGCCAAAATTACACACTGAATTATTATCATCTTACCTTTTCTGAATCTAATCGACTAATTGTCTCCGTGATGTGTACGTGATTATCCATAAAAGCAATTTCAATAACTACAAAATAGTCAAAAACACGAGTAGCATGAAGCAGAACAGCTGAACCACACGCTGCACACAGAATGAAGCCGAGAGCGCGCGGGAGACTTTGATCTGAGTGGAAAGTGTGACTGAAAAAGAGACCGGAAATGCTCAACCTGGGGCATGCGTAGACGTTTTGCCGCGGTGTTGGTTATCTATCACTTGACTGTATGACTGCCTGTCTACACCAATCAAAATTTGAAATGTCCCTGTTACTGTACCCAGAAACAATGCTGTCCTTTTTATGAAGTGACATACACAAACCATATCAAAGTCTCTTAATAACAGCAATAAATTACTGCCTGAGAAGACCACTGACATTATTAAGTGATGCCACGGTTGCAGGTTTCCTTGTGAAAAGATGTCTGAGGAGCAAGTGCTGAAATTTCATACCTTGATGACGTGTCACTACCCTGATCTGGGTAATTGCACTTCATCAGTATGGAATTTCTGTCGGGTCATTCTTCAGACGTCGTTTTGCAGGGAAACCTGCAACAGAGGCATCGCTTAATGTTGGCAGTTTTCTCCGGCTACATTATTATTGCAGCCGCCACAATGATGCATCCTTTAAACTGTATCTCCTCCTACTATTGTGGTCTCAGGTTTACTACCAATCAGAGTCACAAATGCTTTGAAGTTACAGTGTATCTAGAAACAAATTGAGCCATTCAACAAATTTTCACAGTTTGTGTGTAAAAACTGCTCAGCTGCACCTGATATTTTACAAAGTAGATTTTTTTGTTTGTAAAATGATAGTTCCAGTTAGCTTTATTCATTAGTCCTAAAATGGTCTAAAGCAGTTTCTCCAATTAATGACACTGCAGGAAGTTTATGTCGCAGCTTATGAATTTACACCTGAAGAGGAAGGAGAGCTATACTTTAAACGTGGAGATAAAATACAAGTATTGGATAAAGAAGATGAAAACTGGTGGAAGGGCAGAAATCTTTCATCTAACCAAGAAGGCTTGTTTCCTTCCACCTATGTGCAGAAGAAACCATTGTAGGGATCCAAAATCATTATGGAAAAAATACACTTTGGTCAGTATTTGTCATAAGAAAGCAAAGAAAAAGAATAAATAGTGCAAGAAGAAAGTATGTAACTTGTTTATCAATACCACAACCTGCCACTTATTAGCCCTGGGCTGGTACATTTTTGTAAGCAGGTTTAGGAGGGCCTTTAAATTGGGGGAGACGGGGGGAGGGGGGCTTATATCTAAGTGGGCTTCTAGCAGGAAGAGAAAAAGCACTTCAAAACATGCTACAGCAGTGCTGATCAAAATATATTTTGCACGTATTTGCTTTTAATAGACCTTTCCACAGTTATATTTCTGACATGAGCAAGTTAGGGAAAATTTGTCTACTCCACTGGAATGAGCAACGTTAAATTAGCAAAATTGCGAACTATAAAGGTGATTCATTGAAAACTAATGAAGATACCGCTCCTCAATGCCACAACATTTTAGAGATGTTTGTACGGTAGTGGCGGGGGACTTTTCTTCTGCCATAAAACGTCTACAAATTTTCGCAATTTTGCAGAGCTATATCTATGCTAGTTTAAGTGTACTTGCCAAATGTACTTATTTAAAGGCGCTTTTACCAGTGAAGGAGACAGATTTTCCCTAAGAAGGGTTTATTAACCTTAAAAACATCATAATTAATCAAATTCATTTCAATACTTTTGGAGGGGGGCTTATATCCAAGGAGCTTGTAAGTGGCAGTTTATGGTGATTGTTTTGCTAAATATTATTAATCCTGGTTACATGAGACCATTAGGAACTCATACTGGAGGACTCAGATGTACATGTGCATTGTCAGAGACCAAAGATTATGGGATAGTGTACATGACAAATCATTGAAAGCATTGTTTGTGCGCTACCCACTTTTAACCCTTTGAGATCAAAATTCTAAATGATCAAATCATTTTTTTGTTCAGGACGGTCCAGACAATTATTTTGGTGATCACAATCCGGTCAATTTTCCCATAACATGTTTGGTATTAGGGCTGGGTGCTTAGATGCTCACCTGTTCTTGTTGTAAACATTGCAATGATTCACCTTTCAGTGTTCTGTACTGATAAGTTGCCCTTGCGTTTCTGGGGATAGTTCATCTGAGACTATTATTTGAAAGGTCAGAACTGATTACTTGGGATAAGTATGAACTCATAAGATCTTCAAGTTCATTAGTCTCCATGACAATAGTATTCTTTTAAATTTACTTCCTTTCACATTAAACTGTTTTGAAAAATGATCAATCTCAGACGTGTTTGGCACATTTCAGTAGCATTCATGCATGTGACTTGTATGAGTTGATTTTTCAGATGACTGTCTTTGTGTTAACAGAACATCAATCTGAAATTACTTTTCCGAGTTCGTACTGGCCTTATGTCTTCAGGGCCTTAGAATTACTGCTAAGTTCTTACTGTAAGTAAGCATGTTAGGCCTATTAATTGCCTCTAGTGAAAATTGTATTCTGTAATTAATGTTATGCTGTAGAGTTTTAAAAGTGGCAATCCCCCATACATATTACCTTTTGATTTTATGTATTTACTTATATATTTTTATATTTAGCTTAATTAGATAATTAGATTTTGATTTCTGCTTAGACTTGACTTTCCCCATGGTGTTTATTGGACTGTACACAGGACAAGCCTTTTTTTAAAGCAAAAATTTGATTCAAGAGTATAACTGCATGTCAATCCTATTACAGTATACCCACTAATAAGAAACTACATTTTTTGAGGTCTGGCTAAAAAGGTTCTTTTACTTTGGGGTAGTTATTGGCAATTTAGGTTTAGTAGGTATATTATATTATGTTCTTAACATTGTCGTTGGCTACCAGAAAAATAAAGAAACTTGAGTTTACTCCTTAAATATTCGGAATTTATTCTCAACAGTTCATTGCAAACCTCCTTTAAAAGACAATTGCCATCTGTACTCTTCGTAAATCTTTTTCCGTTGTAGGAATTACAATAACACTTCTATTTGTAATTCCAGTTTGGTTCCTATCAATTGGCAAACTTGAAGTCAAACTCCTTAGTTAAAATTTTTATCTTAGTCAATTTACCTGTAACCCACATTTATCACCTGCTTGATAAGAGGTTCTTGTTATTTTTGGATATTTAAGTGCCAAATTTCTGCCAGATGTTTTTTAATCCACAGGTTCTTATTAGCGGGTGTTTACTGTATCACTGTTAGCATGGATAATCTCCACTCTCTTCTCCACATATTTCTTATTGTACTGATGAGGAATATCTTTTGAACAAAAATTTTCTTGCAGAATTTTTAAATTGGTGTGATGGCTGATGCGATGCGCTAGAAAAAGGAAATTTGTAAAAAAAAACTGAAAGGACCTGTTAAGAAAAACGCGTTTTTCATAAGGGCGAGAATGTCTTTTCCTTAATTTTTTCACCTGACAGAACCGATCCAATCAGCTTTAGACCGAAGTTATTAAACAATTACTGGATGAGGTTGAGCATGATATCATGAATTATCAAGACCGAGGTCTGTGTTCGGCTGAGGCAGATAATACAGACACGAAGTTTTGATAATTCATGATATCATGGGAAAACCGAATTCAATAATTGTTTTATTATACATTTTTTAAACAATAGGCAAAAGAAGACATTCAGCGATTCTGTTTCTGAGGAGAACACTCCAAGGGGCTTGGTAACCAGGCAGACGTTGAACTTGACATGATAAATGCAATATCTGCAGCAGATATTGCATTTATCATGTCAAGTTCACAAGCTATTGTGAATTGATTGAATGCTCTCGACCAATCAGATTTTTCATAGTGAGTCTGATGTATAATAATACTTAGTCATGTTCCCTTTGTTCGCGAGAGATTTTTGGCTTACACCCTAGTAAGATTGATAGGTAATTAAAATGCTATAGCTTTTAGTGTAATTAATCATTTATTTACTATCTATAGACCATATTAGCCATAAATACAAATATAAATAAAGAACGTGATATTTTACACTTGTAATTTTGTTATTGTTTATGGAAGATAACATTCCATAAATGCTTTCCCTGCTTTTATGATCGGTCCGTTATATGACAGGTCTTTTTAGGTTTAGTTTAGCTCTATTTAAGGTAGACACCCCTGTATTTATAACGTGGACCCCACCCTTCAACCGATGTCGTCATACGCCTTCGGTCTATTGGACGCCCATTATGATTGTTTTCGTGTTTTGTTTTTTTTCAAAAGCCATAGTCTCAGTCCAAATTGTTGGGACACTTTGCTGTCTTCTTGCCCTCCCAATGTTGGTGAGTTAACTGCGATAGGCCCGTCTCCTCGTCCTCCTGAAGTTGGTTAGAAGCGAAAAAAAAAAAAGCGTTGGTTGCAAGTATCCCAACTATTTTTGTCTGAGACTGCAAGTCTATCCAATGTATTAGGAAAATGAAAGTTCTAAAATGGGTATTGCCCAGCTGACAACAGTGCCCTTGCTTTTTTATTAAACAAACAAACTAAAAATGAGAACGAAAAAAAAAAAAACACCTTTGCAGGTCACACGTCTCCACCCCTAGCCCATGGTAGTCCGTATTCACCATTGTTAAGATATAATTGGCCAATTATGACTCATACTTTCACCTAATGGGAACTCGACTTCCGTAAATGATCTGATAGACACGCCCAGGGCCTTTAGTTATATTAGGGGATTCAAGAGGGGGTGCTTAATTGGGGGACTACTCGTAGTCTATGCTTCATAGATAGGAGGTGTTTACCCTCAGCTAAAACGAGCTCAACAAAGCCGATATGCTTTCGGCGAAAATATGAATAGAGTTTAACAAAGGCAGAATGTCCCCGGAGAAAAGCCTCTCGGATCAAAGGAGAGAATCATCAACAAACTCAATTCGGCCTACCGTCTACCGTATTGTCGTACAAACACGAAGAAGTTCTCGCCCTTTTTTCAAGGGCCTAAGTTTTTTAATTCACTTGACAACAAGATCATCAACTCTCAATCCCTCTCCTCTTTTAAGAAAAAACTGAAGATTAAATTATTGAGTAAGCATGAAAACAGTTTATAAATCTTTCCATCTTCGACTTTTCGCCTTCTTCTCTTCAATTGATGTGAAACAGCTCTAGCTCATAGTTCGAGGGGGCCTAACCTCTCATAAGCTCCTATAGTTTCTGTTAGGTCTCCTCGCCACTTCTTTTTTTTTTTTTTCTTCTTCTTTTCCTATATTTTTTGTAATTAGTGTGGCAAATAAAATAAAATAAATAAATAAATAAACATATTGCGTTGACAACGAGATTTGAACCCGGGCCACATTGTTGGGAGGTGAGTGCTCTCACCGCTTTGCCACTTTTGTTTCTCAATTGGTAACTTGCTTTAGCTTTGCTCATATACGCTTTTGTTGGGTTGGAAACAATGGTGCCACTTACTCGTCTGGTAGGCAAAAATGATCGAAACCGATATCAACTTTATTATGATTTGCTTTGAAGTAGGACTAGTTCCTTTCAGGGGCGTGGCTATGGGGGTGTTGGGGTGCCCGTGAGCCCCTCTCTTTGTGCACTCTTTGTACATTACCTGTAACTTAGCACGTTAAAACCCCTGAAGACGTTCTTGAGAAGCACCATGACCACGGAAAGACAGTCGGGTGTGGCAATGATGAACATCCACTATGGTAGAGCGATCGACATTGATGAGACCGTTGCTCATCTTTGCCACTCGGCATCCACGCCGCCGCTTATTAAAAGACATTTTGGTTGATGAGCAATGAGACTAAAATAGAATAATTTATGTTACGTGGAAATTAATTCATATATGAAGTTATTTTGTAGGCTTGTCCCTCCCCGACGTTCACTGCTCATCCGACATACCAATCTGGTAAGTACCCTGGTTGTAACACAGTGTGACACCTTCCCCCACCCCCCACAACCCTTTGAAAAATCCCCTTTTTTCTCTAGTTATTCAGTGCCCCCTTTTTTGCCTTTCGGCTTGGCTTACGACAGTCCCCCTCTTATCTTTGACTTCTAATTAGGTTTCACACAATCCACTTCCGTACTCAGTGTTCATACATTTGCACATCAACTGTTTACACTAAAATGGTTCCCCGAGAGCATACATGCAGATCACATCCTTTCATTGGTATATTCTTAGACTACATTGATACAACGTCGGTATCTTTTTAAACTATAGCTTTGGTAGTTGATTGGTGGTGGATTGGAATCCTCCCAAGACGAGAAACGAACTTTATAAGTTGAGAAACTCCATACGTTATAGAGAAGCAATCGCATGGAACAGTTTAACGAACAGGGAAACAGCAGCAAAACCTTGAAAAATTTAAACGCTGCCTTGCAAATTTTTCATCTATAAAATGAATTTTTAGCTGCAACTAATGAAACAGAGATATCGGTTACAAATATTTGTAATAGTTTTCAATTTTTAATTTTACGTTTGTTTTTAGTAATTCTAATTTTTCTCGTAACTGTTGTATGCACGACCCCACTAGCAATGCTAATCTTCTTATCGTACTTAAGCACACTATTAGTTTATACCAGCACCCCAAGCGATTACGTTGACACCTGGTGGTGGCTCAGAAGGTTTATCCTGCCCTCCTTCTTCTCCTTCTTTATCGTGAGATTCACCACCTTTTCCTTTTCCTTGAAAATGACCACCTTTTCCTGCGCCCTTTCTAGCTTCCCCTTTACCATCAACTGTTTTATCTGAGCCGACTTCAATGAACATTAGCTGTGCGCCAGGGACGGTGTATAAGATTTTCGACGACTCCTCGCCTTCCACGGGGTAATTGGTCTTTTTACAGTTTTTTACTTTGACAGTACTTATGAGTAGTGCAGGTTTGGCATGTTTGGGAGAAGGATCATGTACCTGATGTCATGGTCGGACGACTGAAACGTACCGTAGACATGAGCTGTGGCCCCTGTTTTTAGAGCACGAGAACTGAAGGACCACGATGCCGATTTTGGGTTCATTTTGGGTTCGGTACAGTTGAAGACACAGTTGAAGACACAGCATAGCACTGTGAAGATAACACTCCCTGTACATTTCTTCCATAATTCTCCAGCTCTTAATTCGCGCTCACTGTTTTTTTAGTCTGCTCTGGTAAGACAATAGTTTTTGAAAGAGAAGTGTATGGGGAAAATAACCACACAGCTTGCAAGAACAAGAAAAGCTAATAAGGCAGGGTGTATTTTATTGAAAATTTTAGCGAGTATTTATCTTCTTGAAACTTTTAATTGAATTCCCATACAAATCCTTCATGTCCTATGTTCACGACCATTTTAGGTATTACGCAACATGAAACCACGCGTATTAATGATTAAAGTCTCATACTGAGTTTAGGCGGCCCGTGGTCCCGGTTGGGGGGGGGGGGGGGGGTTACTCCCTTATAAGGACTTAATGAGGACGTGCGGTCAGCCAGGGTATGTTTTTCGGGATTTTTGTCTTAAACAGGGTATCGAATTTATCATTTTTGTCTTAATCAAGGTATCGAATTTATCATTTTTTGTCTTAATCAAGGTATCGAATTTATCATTTTTTGTCTTAAACAGGATAAATGTGTTAAACAGGGTATCAAAAATCGGAATTCTGTCTTAAACAGATAGATAGATAGATAGATAGATAGATAGATAGATAGATAGATAGATAGATAGATAGATAGATAGATAGATAGATAGATAGATAGATAGATAGATTAGATAGACAGACAGACAGACAGACAGACAGACAGACAGATAGATTGATAGATAGATATCTATCTATCTCTATCTATCTATCTATCTATCTATCTATCTATCCTAGAGTACTTGTTTAAGTAGACGTTTCAATTTGTTAAGGGATTCCATAGAATGGCGCCACTATAGCTGAGGCTATTTTTGTAATAATTTATCCGTGGTAATGGGATCCAAAGTTTATTCTCAGAGCCCCTGAGGTTATATGCCGTTTCTCGTCTTGCAAACCTAGAATATAACTATTCTGGAGCCAACCCGTGTAAAGCTTATAAACCATCGTGGCTTTTTCAATTTATGCTGGCGCGCTAGATTTTCTATTCTAGGAGTTCAAACAAGTAACAGCGTCTTCATCATAGTCTGAAAAATGTCAAAACACGGGCTGCTCTATTTTGTAGTGTTTGAAATTTGTTCCTTAGGGTTATCCCACAGTTTCTCCAAACTGTATTGCAATAATTGAAGAGAGGGTGTATAAGAGCTTGGTATATTAGATGTAAGGTCACTTGGGAGACAAGGTGCCTTACTCGCTCATGGCCCCAACGCCAGAAAAAGGACTTCCTTTATTATCTCTGTCTATTATTTCTTTTGCCAGCGTTCCGTATTTCTTATAAAACTCAACCTGTAGACCTGTCATACTGAATCTCCAACTGGTTGATATGTACAAGAACCTTGAAAAGGGACAAGAATGGTCTTCCCACTGTGGTGTCTTGGTAAGTCAAAAGACATGCACCCGGTTATGAGTCACTGAGTAGTTTCAACTCTGGGCTACCGATGGCTACAAATATATATGATTCTCCCGAGATTTAGGATTATCCTAGATTTAATTATATATTTCGGAGTTTCCTTTCAATTACGATTTAACTAATTTCCTCCTTTTTTATCATTTGATTTAAGGTGTTTTCGATACAGTTTTTGGGACTTATTATACAGGGATTTTAGGGATTTTCAACTTTGCCAGACTGCTTAAGGTGCAGTTTACAAGTAATGAAGGAAAAATGATTCTAGTGTGAAAGTGAGATCCTCGTCCGATTGCGAAAAGATTTTCTTTAACGTCCAGTTGATTACCTATGAATTGAGACGGGGCCTACGGTTTATCGTCCTTATCCGAGAAGACAAAAGTCTAGCCGTTTGCAGATATTATTACAAAGGCAGCACTTTCTCCTCAGTTATTTAAAGATCCTGAGTGTTGGTCCGGCCGGGGTTTGAGCCCACGACCTCCCGCTCAGCAGACCGGTGCTCTCCCAACTGAGCTAACCAGGCGGCGGTCAGACATACCGGCGGAGACATACCGATGTTAGTTTTTCAATCGCCTTAACTATGAATTGAAGTTTGTCAAAATGCAGTTTCACTATGACAACAATACGCAAAAAAATCAATAAAATCCGAATTTTGCGCGATCTAGACCTAGCCCGTATGCACCATTGTCAATTGACCTATTGTAACTCATACTTTCGTGTCATGAAACTCGATCATCGTAAATGATGTTCACATGGAGTGGGGGACCCGGTCTAGTGGGGTTGGTTTCTTTTGTTTTCACGCTCTGGGGGACACAAAACAAAAGAAACCTACCCCATTAAACCGGGGTCCCCCACTCCATGTAAACAGGGTCTAAGGAATCCAAGAGGGGGCGTTTAATGAATAGGAGGCGTTTACCCTTAGCTGAAACAAGCTCAGCAAAACCAATATGCTCTTACGGCAAGAGTATCAATAGAGTATATCACATGATAACAGAATGTCCCCGGAGAACAGCCTCATTCAAACTCCACTCACATATGACGTCGACACCAGGATTTGAAGCAGGCTCATATTGGTGGGAGGCGAGTGCTCTTATCACTGCGCATGCACCACCTTTGCTCTCCCGCCCACCGCCCTTACTAAGTGGTTTCAACTTATTTTCTGTTTTAGCTTTGCTCATATAAAAATGCACTGCAATTTATTTGAGCGTCAATGTATTTAGCACGAAAGTACTAATTGGAAACACTATTTTTACACCTCTTGATGGAGACGGGACCGCCATTTGAAGTGGTCAATGATTTGCTCTCTCAACTTTATCGTGGTTTGCTTTGAAGCGGGACTAGTTCTTTTATTGTCTTCTTTTCTAGTTTTTGGTCCCCTTTCTTCCTTTTCGTTTGACTTACGACAGTCCCCCTTTTATCTTTGAATTTCAATTAGATTTCACAGAATTCCGCTTCTGTACTCTGTTAATACACCATTTGCCCATCAACTGTTTAATACACTAGAATGGTTCCTTGAGAGTGGTAATACCACTTCATTTTATTGGCACATTTCTAGACTACATTGATATAGCATTAGTACATCATCGTTACAGTGGATTGGTAGTTGATGCGAATACATTGCATGGCCGACACTATTAACTCATATCGGCACCTCAGATTACCTGAACAGCTGGTGGCGGTCCTTTTGGTTTTTCTACCTCCTCACCTTTTTCTTCTTTTTCATCAGCCTCCATTCCAGATCCTTCTTCTTCACCTGTTGGATCGTGAAAATTACCACCTTTTCCTGTACCCTTTCCAGCTGCCCCTTTACCAGCAACTGTTGCATCTGAGACTTCAATGAACATTAGCTGTGCGCCAGGCAATGTGTACAAGGTATTCGCGGGATCCTCGCCTCCCACGGGGAAATTGGCCTTGTTTCTTAGACATTGCAGCCAATTATTGCAATAACTGCAAGTAAGCAGTAAGATCATGTACCTGATGTCATCGCCGGACCTCTGAAACCTGCCGTACACATGGGCTGTGGCACCTGCCTTTTGAGCTTTATCAGGACCAAGATGCGGTTTACATTTTGGGTTAGGGCAGTTGTAAACGCAGCATTTCATATCCTTGATACTGGGGATTCCCGTGCATGTTTTCCATAGTTCCCCAGCATTATTCCCGGACACAGGTATTTCAGTCTTCTCAAGTACGGCAATGGTTTTTGGGCGGTCACAGGTGGTCTTCCTTGCATGAGTGAAGGCCAATGACCAGCCGTCTTTCAGTTTAACTGTTCCGTTATGCAGGTCATCAAAGGCTCTGTGGATAAAACAATTGTTCATTGTCTCGTTTTCAACCAATTTAAAAACAAATGGATCAACGTACATGTGTCTACACTGTTTTCACTAAACTGTCAGACGATCACTCTCGTTTCACAAATCAGTTTTCCTCAGCCGCACGAACTGATGTTGATAAAGCTTAGGATCTGAGGAGCTGACGACTAGTTCAGTAGAGCCCTGATGGCGATATGCCAAGGGAGCAGTAAACTTATATCGTTGTATCGAGGAATTCGGATGTATCCGCGACATTCCCGATATAGCGATATGGCCGTAAAATAACCGAAAATATAGTTTTTCTTATACCGAGATAAACCTAACATGTATTCTTTTACTGCATATTATTTATTCAAATTTGTAATGCCGAGTCAGCTCAAATGATTCATAAATGTAACATTTCAAGCACTCAGCAATGTTATATACTGCAAAACAGTCGGGTTTTTTTTCTTAAAATCGTCGGTCCGTGCCTACTTGAATACACAAAAATACGGACTGTTTTGCAGTCTAGCAATGTCCTTTTTATGCAAGGCTCTAGAAGCTTTCACCGTCAGTGATCGTCATTACTTCTCGAGTTTCCGTGTTTATTTAAAAAAAAAAAAAAACAGTCCAAAATCAGGCCTTGAAATCCTTCAGCAAAGGTATACGTTTTATCACAAGGAGTCAAAGATACTGAAACTAAAAGAACTACTGAATGACAAGGAGGGTAAAGAGGACACAGTGCTCGTGACGTCTAAAGAGGTTTAGAGCACAGTGTCACACAACGCTGTTACAACGAAAGAGATCACTCGATTACTGTAATGTTATTGAATTTCGCCCAAAAAAATGTGAAAACGTCATAAACGCCCAGCCTCGAATAAGCGCCCCCTCGCACAGTTTAAAAGGGCCCCAGTGCCCAGGGCGCTTAATCGAATGATCATTCAAATGATCGTTCTTGAAGCTCAAGAACGATCTCCGGCGTAAACTCTGAAAAAACAAGGAAAACTGATTATTCGTTTATGCTGACGACGCGCAGATATTTTTCGCTGACAGTATGCAGGAATGAGTTAAAGAAGAGATGTAAGTGCAGATCACAGCAAATAAAAAAGCAGATACGGATTGACAAACTTTAAAAGAATTGAAACGGATTTGTAATTGTGGTGTTTGATAGCCTGAATTTCATCCGATTGCTTCGAGTCGTTTTCTCCTCTCTGCAACCGAGGGAGTGATAACGACTCAAAGTAATCGGATGAAATTTGGGCTAGGTGTTTGAAAACTTCTTTTTAAATAGCACGACGGCATTTTTACAGTTTAAACTACATGAATACTCCGACGCGGTTCCTTGGCCATTAGCCTGTGATTACAGTGTAACTCTTTTAGACCTATTTTTGTATGACGTCTTTTCCCTTCTCTTCTCGAAATGAATAAAACGCCTGATCGCAGGTGGGGAGCCTTTATCCGAAACAATTTCAACCTTTAGTTTTTCTCTCCTTTGTCGAGACCAGTACGTAGAACAGCAATCAGGCTATTTTCTAGAGGCTGAATATTTGGCAGTTTTGACAATTAATTCTAGGCAGATAATATATACGTCCGTACGTGCAAGTGGTGTGTGTGCATGTGTGCGTGAGTATGCAAGTACTATGTCATTTTACTACTTTGGAAATAGTTTTTGTTCTAGTTTTGTAGCTTTGAACGTCAAGACATATATGAAGTAGGTGATTTTAAAAAAAGCATTGTTAGCAAGTACCATCATGGAAATGTAGTTTATATGCATGGTAGATCTGTATTATGTAAGTTATGTGTTATAAATGTAAGTAATGTAAGCAACAGTAGGTAAATAAACAAAGTATTAGTAATACTGAAACAATAATAATAATAATAATAATTTATATTATGTTAAGGAAAAATTGGCCACGTCTTCGAAGTACAGTGTCATGAAAGTTAAGATTTTACTACTAATTGGGTTAGTGAACTAAGTTCAGCTGAAGCTGCCACTCTCGAAGTCAAGAAAACTAGATTCACTTCATACTTAAGCACTGGTCATCGGAAACATTCATTCAGTTCTCTAGTTAAGTTCTATTTATAAAGAAACTGTTTCACGAAATTTATCAAAGGCTCAATCAGTGGAAACCGCCACGAAATCGAGTGAAACATGGCATAACTGCTCAAGGCAAAACGTGAAAATAAGGCGGTATAAATAACACGGCAGAGCGAGGCAAACACAATAATAGACACGACTCGGGACAAACTTTAAGAAGATTGAAATGGATTGCAATTGTGGTGTTTGAAAACTTGGTTAACACCCTAACAGTTTTTCAAAGTTTGTTGTTTACAGCACTTTATGTAATGCTTAGTAAACATATTTGTTTGGCACGAAGCTGTGACGATTTTGTCCTTAAAAAGTACAGTAAAACCTGGGTTAATTCAATTCAATTCAATTCAATTTTATTCACACTTTCATAAAATATTTACAATACATATAGCAAGGTAGGAATACACTAATGAAGAAGAAGAAGAAGAAGAAGGAAAAAAGAAAATTGATGGTTTGGATAGAAGTGTACGGTGGTCAGAGGAGCTTAGCTTTCGAGCTAACCACCGTTAAACTTGCTAGCAGAGCGCGGCCTCTTTTCAAAAATATTGAGATCCCGCCCGCCAAATACTGGGGAAACGAGGCTTCCGCTACCAGGGTATATAGCCAGTCCACTTAGTACTGGGTGTTAGCGTAATACAACAAATACAGGTTTCAATAGAGAATGTCACCCCGGCGTCAAGAGCCAAATACCATCCAAATAAAGACAATGAACGGCGGAAATGTTTGGAATTATTCTCCAAGATTATTGTGCCTCAAATGAGTAGTTCATGAGAAAACAGTACCGTAACTGACTGAACACGTTAATAAAGGCTAAGTTTTAATGGAGTACATATTGCAAGGTGATTGATTTTTTTGTAACTGGTTAAAAGATAACTGACCAACGAAGGATTTAATTAGAAACATCAGGACCATTTCATCCACTGTTGAGGTGTCCGCGCGTCCGAGTCTAGTAAAGAGTAGAGTCTAGCAAATCCTTCATAAAAGATCTTATTCACAAATTTAAGATAAAAAATGCCCAAGTTAGCCCTACGTACCACCTTTCATAAGGTTTTCAGTAACAAAATCAACTGGACAGCCATAACATACCCTTAGTAGACAAGGACAGTACTTTATTGTTCAAAATGCTTTCCAGCAAAATGATCTAAACTTCCGAATAATCCGCAGATCGACTTTCAACCACATATAACAGTTATAAGACGTTCGTGAAAACACTGATTTAAGTACAAAACAACGGAAATCCAATATTTCCGCCACCTGAGTGACTAGGCATTTTGCAGCATTTTGTTTCTCCGCTTAGAGCCGCTGCTCGCTCCTCACCGCGCTAGCAAGAAAGCCAACGCAGATCGGCCGGGTTCCGGGTGCTGTGTCGGTGAGAAGCCTGGTTTACAACTTGACAAAGCCATTTATACCACATACATCTTTGAAAGTTTGATGTTTAACCTTTCGCAATAAATGTCCGAAATTGCCAAAAATTTGTTCGAAGTGTTTGGTTTGATTTCAGCCAGTTGATCGTCCGAAAATCTTTGAACTTACACCAAATGGCGTACCAATTCTCCCAAATGTTCTGAGGAGGTATGAATTAAATGTATGCTTATCATTTTTTTATATTTTAGATTCTCATCCTGGCTCAACTTTGGTTACTCTTTCAGTGAAGGTCAGTTTTTCACCAAGGATTAAAATTAAAAGAAAAGTTTCCTTACTTGTTAAAGTCTTCCTCGAAGAGGTTAAAGTCTTTGAGAGATTCAGCGATGGGCTTAAATTTTTTGTCGGCTTCCATGGCCTCAGGTTGTGTCGTATACTGCCCGGTTAAAACTTCCTGTTTATGTGTTCTTGTGTTTTCGGCCTGGTGGCATCTTTCGTGATAGGCCACCAGCACGAAAACACAACCATTTGTAGTGATTAGCCAGATTAGCTTGCAGATTTTCCGCATTGGCGTTATTCGAATATTTGCATGTACGTAACGGCTGTCGTTAATTGCGAGTTACCGGTAGTATGGTTAGTTATCACACGTCCTCATTCAAAATGGAAATAAATTACTAGCAAGTGACAGAATCACCGCTTAATGTCAAGTAAAGATGTCTCCCAAGCATTATATCAAACATTACAGACAACAAAAATAACTTTGAACAACTGTTGAGCTAACAGGTCCTAACAAGTTTTCAAAATCAGTCAGTCGCGGATCCACACCGGTCCGGGTGGGAGGTACTTTAGGAATTTCGGGGCGGGGATGTGCCGCTGGGACCCTGGAACCCTTAACCTATACCAGAGCTAGTTCAGCTGAATTTTGATACCCTATACTAGAGTAAACTCCCCAAATCCCCCTTATCCTAGAGTAGCTGTTTCCCTATAGTCTAGTCTAGATAAAATCTTCAACCAACTGATCAGTTTCCTGAAAAATGATACCCTATTCTAGACCCAAACTCTCTGATTTATAAACCCTATCCCAGAGTAAACTGGTTGAAAACCATACCCTTCACAGCGGCACATACCTATATAGACCATATATGGCAGTACCCCCCTCCCCGGGCACACCGGTTTCCACCGTTTTACGAAAATCGGTCAGATTTTTCATAAACAGGCTCCTGACATGAATAAATATATTTTGAATGAAAAAAAAAACATCCTATCTGAAAGACTGAGAAAACTATAGCAAAGGTGACTTTACGGATTTAAAATCCAAATCATTTCACGGGCTTGCATGCCCCGGACCCAAGACGCTTGCGCCTTTAAACTCGGTCAGTAAACCTAGTCTGTTACGCATGACAACACTAAAAATGGCTGTGTAGCCAGATCCGCACATTCGTTTTAATCTTCTTCAAATTTGTCAATGTTTTGAGCAGTTATTTTTATATTTCATTCAATTTGTTGGCATTTCCCACCGTTTGAATTTCGATGTACAGTGGAACCCCGTTAATACGACCACTTTGGTCGTATTAACGGGGTAGGGTCAAATTAATTATGGTGCAAAATGCTTTTAAACTACATTCTACTACATGTATACCTTTAATCCGTTATAAATCAACTTTTTTTGCAGTTAATTAACAACCTTACAACCGCAATTCAACGCAACTGATCAATGTAACAGTAAGCGAAACCGAGTAATGAGAAAAAACACTGACTTCTTTCAGTTCCTTGTGATGAAAGGAAAGGGCCTGTGATTTGTCTCGAAGAGCCGTTTTCTATTTTGTAGCTTACAACACTTTCACAATTATTACAAAGTTCAAAGTTCTGGGAGGAAAGATAAGGAAATGGACTTGAAGAGAAAAGCCACAGTGGAAGGCAGCAGAAACAAGAAGGCAAAATAACTTTGAGAGCCTCGAAATGCTGCAAAGTGAAGTCTTTCAGATCTTGTGTACTATTTATTCATGCATCCTTTTCACTGCACACAGCAATTTACCGGATGTCATGCTAACCACTAACACCTTTGCCTAAAAACATTCAATAAAATATTAGTAATGAGTTATTGTTTGTCAGATTGTGTCTGTTTTCATTCAGCAGCCCCACCAAGCATTTTGACTGGTCGTATCAACGGGGTAATTTTATAAAGAAAATAACGACTCAGGACTCCCAAAGGTGATCGTTGGTCGTAATAACAGGGTGGTCGGATTAACGGGATTTTCAGATAAGAAAATGGGTGGGCTTTTGTTCGGGCCACAAAAAAGTGGTCGCAATAACGGGGTGGTCGTAAGGCGGGGTTCCACTGTATTTCGTGACACAGCTCCTTAGAAGTTAGTTTAGTGTCGTCACGCAACGCTCCTCGCGTTGCGTGACGACACTAAAAACGGCTGTGTAGCAGACCTACGTAGAAGTCTGAAATCCAAAATACTGCGCAGTTGCTAGAGCTGGAGGGATTAGTATGGTCCGACTGAGAGAGGCACTCGCGCGCCAATTAAAAAACAAAATGTTCTGTTCTTAAAATCTGGGAGCTTAAAGTTAAAAATTTTAATATCGGTTTTTAGTGATATTCAAAATTCGTTCTGCCCTAGCAGTGCCGAATATGTTCTGACTCGTCTTCACCATCTCTCGATCTCCCTAGTCGCGCGTGGTGTGTAAACGCGAAGACAACTGGGAACGATTCACAATACAGCAACAGTTGCAACAGAACTAAACCTCGCTGGAATCGCGTTGAAACGGCCAAATATGTGAAGAACATACCATGAATATAATAACTATACAAGGTAGGATGTTAATAGGTATTTTTATTGCTATTTTTGTGGCCTGAAAAACATCCCTTAAATCCCCTCACAATCTCTTTTAAATATTTCTGTTATGCAACGATTTTCACTCGTGAGCTTGGGGGTACCTGTGGTTTAAGTCTGGAAACGAAAGCGGTTGGCGGTCTAGCAAAAACTGACAAAGTAAGACGGTTTGCGGAATGTTCGACTCCCTATAACAGACCTTCTCATTATGCATAAGCGTGACAATGTATTCTTTTATTCTTGCCCAGCTGTGAAATGTTATTTTTCATGTCTTTACTGGCTCCAGCACGATGTACGTTAGCTGGAATCCACGGCTTTCGAGTCAAAGTCAAGCTCAAATTCCAGTGAGTTCCAAGCGTCAAAAGCACAACGTCTACCGATAAACTACGCCATACAGAGATGTCGAAAGGGAGTATCCGTACGTTTCCACTGACCTCTCAGAACCCCTAACACATTACAGTCACATTATAGTCAATTCTGTGGCCAATTATTAGGCTCGAACATAGCCAGTTAAGTATAGACACCATCTTTTGATCTCTTAGTCACTTAGTCACCCAATCTTGGTCACTTTTTTCTTATCCCCAAAATTCAGAAAATGTGCGACCCCATTTTGTCAATCCAGTTGTGAAAATGCGACCCCATCCAGCGGCACCTATTACTAAGAAGAACCCAGATGCTTACACTTAATAAATTTTCCCGGGGGACTCGCATAAAAATGACCTATAAACATATTCGGCGCGCGGTATGTAGTATTGCGGGGCGATAGGGTGGGGGGGATGCATATTACACAAACCCGTGTTCTGCATAAAAGCCCTCGTCGCTTACTTCACCTTGTTCAGTCTTTTCGAAAGCGACGACCGCCTCCTTACTTCACCTCACCCTCCTTCTGGCAGCAATAAACTACTCCTCTCGCTCTTCGGAAGCTACCCGCTCCCAATCGACTCAGCCTGATTCTCCCATATCTTGTTTTAACCTTGGCATTGTTATTTAGGACCCCAGTGAAAATATATCACTGTAAGCCACTTTTAGTTAAATTTTAAGTTTTGTGTCGTTGTCCAAATGTTTCCCATCCTAGACACGAGTTGTTTGAAAGATGATTAGCCCAAATCAAGGCTTAATTACCAGGACAACTTATACACTCCATTTTTGGTTTACCCAGAAGGATAACTAATGGGCTTCGAGCCGTGACCCATTCTCATTCCCACAGCCCGTCGACGTGGCTTTTAAATTAAGCCGAGTGGCTCTGGGGACGAGAATGCGAACAACCGGGCGCAAATCGTCGGTTTTCTATGTGCGCGCGCTTGTCTTAACGTATGCTACTTGTGATTATGACGTCAATCTAGCTGCTATAAACCAGAGAGGATGAACTTCTGGAGAACAGGAATTATCGTAGTTATCCTAATAGATACTGTTTGCTCCTCGCATGTCGCATCATCTTCGGACTTAAGCCTCAAACAAAAAATACGATCGGTTGGTGCACAACTAACGAATATTTTCTCATATCAGCCGTTCTTTTTTATTTACCTGCGAAGATTTTTAACATATTGTTTTGTTAACAGCGTCGCATGATTTCTGAGGACATAAAAACCTGCAAACATTGGAATTATGAGACTACAGATGACCCACACTTTGCAGATGTTCACGTAAACCTGCATAATGCGGTGAGTATAAGATTCTTCTGGTGCATAATTCGGTGATAAAAGCGCTTGAAAAATCCAGACTTGGGAGGTTTTATTAATATGAACTTCCAATTGCATATTTCCTGTGACGTTTCCTCGCTCAAATTTACTTTAACAAATCAGCATTTAAGCGACCGATTCTGTTTTATTTATAAAGCAGCGTTTCGAATTGTTGTTGTTGTTGTCAGTGTTGTTAACAGTTAATCTCGTACCCAGATCTCCCACGGCCAAGGGAAAGAACATTTTGTACTGCTTATGCTCACCTCCTGATCACTCATCTGCCGGTTACCGAAAGGTAGACGTTTTCGTGTTGAAGTCACCATTGAGCACGGTGTTTTTCGTGGCTTTTCGGTGCTTTGGGGAGTATTTACAGTCTGAGACCGTTTCTTGACGTTTCCTTGTCTACTTGTTTTCAGTTTGCGTTCAAGTTTCTTCTGTGCACTTTGGCGAGTAGAGGCAAATATTTCTAAGTTCTTGTTTAGACGTAGAACTTTATCATGACAACTTCTGCAGCAAAACTTGGAAGTTCGTCCTTCTCTGAGACTTCAACTTCACATAATCTAACAATAATCCTTTTTTAACTGTTAAGCCTTTCCACTAACACTGAAAAAGTAATTTTTTTTCTTGGTGCTCTCCCCACACAACCGGTATCGACTTTTTAAAATGTCGTCTGTCAACTTTTTATTTGGGATACTTCCATGTTTCACGGCGGCATGGCCCGAGCGGCCACCCAAAGAACCGCGAAAATTGGAACCGTTAAAAGAGCCAATCATAGCTTATGTTTTATCACGGCACGACTTTAAGCTGGAGCCAAAGAAAAATGGCCTTGTATCCACCTTTACCAGATCTCACTTTTCAGCGTAAGACAGAGTGAGATCTGGGTACGAGATTAGTTAACAGTATACTGAAACATTGGGAGTTAGTTTTGTTCTATGGACGAACCGTATAGAATCGCGTTTTCTCTGCGATAAAAGACTGATTTAGCTCCCCCGATCAAATGCTCTAATTTATTTTACCCCCCGTTTATTAGAGATTCATATTAAAAAAACTTTGTAATTTCCTTCTCTTTTCAAATATGGCATTTCATTGCTTAAATTTTTTGAGTAGTTTGCCGCGCGCATGCCGCTTTCTAAGTGAGGCCGCAATGTGTACTAACAAAATTGTCAAAAACGCTGATCTTTTTTCCACGCACACTTCAGGCAAGTACAACAAAGAAAATATCGGTGGCTTTACAATGTGCGACGATGAATAAAATACTCGAGCCGAAATCAGCTTTCAGCGTTCCATCGGTAAGTAGAACTGATTTTAATTGGTATTGTAATAAGCAAAAAAAAAAAAAAAAACATTAGATTTGATTAGACCTTTGAGTACTGATTTGATACCGTCACGTTATTTCATTTCATATCTGTTAATCAAAGTATCTGTTAAAGCTCGAGAACACGAAGCCTGTGCCCTGGCATTCCTGCGCGCCCGATTGTCCCCTAAGATTGAGGAGGGCTATTAAGCCATATTGGGGGCACTACTGCAGTAAAAAGCAACTACTACAGCGACGGCAAAAGGAACGTGAAAATGCAATGGCTGCTGAATATTAGCCAAAAAAAAAAAACAATTCTGCACGTGCTTACCTTCTTATAATTACGGCCTCGTCACACATCACGGTGCGTAGGAGACTACTGACTGCATTGAAGACATTACTTCTACGTCTCATAGTGAAGACCGGACCGCCATTTTACTTAGTCATCCGAACCAGCCGAAGGTCTAACCGTTTGCAGGGTATGCAATAGGACTACCTTTATTTTGAAGTTATTTTAAGCCCCTAAGTATTGGCCCGGCCCTTGGTATCGAACCCACGACTTCGCGCTCAGCAGTCAAACGACCTACAAATAGAGCTACTCCTGCCGCGGTAAACGTGTAAGGATGAATTTTAACAAAGTGTGGGGCGCGTAGCCTGTTCTATGCGTTCTGCAGACATTGGAGGGTGGCGTGAATTTTGAGATCAGAGAAAAAAGTAGAACAAAAGGAACAGGAAGAGAGGAGTGAAGCTTTCCTTCGCCCTCTCTCTACCCCCACCCATTCGCTGTTGTCCTACTCACTTTTCCTTTGCACTGTACCCACTACCTAAAGGCCTGAAACACTATGAGGCGCATTGAAACTAGCCCAATGTTTAATTTCTTTCTTAGGGCAAGAAACGTGACTTTGCATTCAGAATCGCCGTTGCATCAAAGTTCCACCACCGAGACTCTAGTGTGCGTCAACACAAATGTCAGTTGTCAACATGGAATGAAGATGAATTCAGCCTTGTAACCTGCAAGTTTAACATCAGCGTTTGGCCCAATGGCATGTTCTACTATAAGTGTTCTAAATGTACGTATATATCCCGACTTTTCTTTAAAGAGAACTGTGTCACGAAATCTCTCAAAATTCAAACAGTAGTATCTAACATCAACTTGAGTAAAATTGGACTGGGTGACTTCTCAAAACATCGAAAGAAGGTATAAATAAAGGCAAATACAAAAGAAACCACGGATGGATAAAGTTAAAAACCTGAAAATCAATCGCAATACAGGCTTCTTAGCCTAACAGCTTTTCAAAGTTCATTTTACTAATAATTGTTTGTTTGGAGGGCATATTTGTTAGACAAGAAGCTGTAAGCTGCTAACGTTAAGTTCCATAGCGCAGAATTCAATTCAATTTTTATTCACACTTTTATAAAATATTTACATTATATAAAGTAAGGTAGGAATACACTAATAAAGGAGAAGAAGAAGGAAAAAAGAAAATTAAAGGCTTGGATAAAAGTGTACGATGGTCAGAGGAGCTTAGCTTTCGAGCTAACCACCGCATAAGGACTCGTATTGATGAATGAACTAGACATACATGACACAGCCCTCCAGCTTCTGATATATGTGGAATCGGACTAAAACCAGTTTTATGATTCTGTTTTTAGACTTTGTGGATTTTTCTTCTCGACATTACTTTAAGAATTAACTCTCGCATATTTTATTTGTGTTTTAGATCAGAAAGATCAACTTTCAGTGTCACAGTCTATCACCACAAGTGCCAAGCAGATTAAGCTGTATAATAAGGAAGAAGTATATTACTCCTCCTTTTTAAATAGCATTAAAAAGCTTCAGCCCCAACTCAGTACGCGCATGCGTGTATAGATACATCAAACTCGTTCCCAAGCTACTTGTTATGTTCATTTGTTATTGGATGGTACAACAACTCCTTATGAGTTTCCAATAAAAATCAAATTTTTGCTATACTTCTAAACCCGTGTATGTTAGAAACGTCGTGGGAAAACAGCCGGGAGAGATTCTTGAAAATTTCTCAAACTGTTTGTTGAAGTGTTGTACTGTATACATCCACTGGAAATTTGCTTTAATCCGCGATACGGAAAAAGATGACGCCACGCAAGGAACTCTGGGTTGGTCGACATGTCGGCCGCGAAAAAATGTAAATAATAAAACAATTACCCTGATAGGTCTAACAGTCAATATTTATAATGGAAAATTATACATTGAGAAAATTTCCCTTGTTATGCGAATCAAGTAAATGACGTAAATTCACTCTAAAAAATCCATTGCCTCATTTGAGGGATACGACGATATTTTCTAAAACTGCCCCTTGTGCTTATTTAATGGTCCATCACAAATTCTTGGATCTGCCCAATTCGTCTAATAACTTACTACTTTTGTCAGGCTGAGTTGGTTCTTAAATTTTTGGTACTTGATTGCCCAAATATCATCCTGATGTCTTAAATAAACTATCTATGATATCTATCATTTCTATCTTCAGCGTTCCGTATTTCTCATAAACTCAACCTGTAAACCTGTCATACTGAGTCTCCAACTGGTCGATATGTACAAGAACCTGGAGAAGGGACAAGAATGGTCCCTGGAATTCCCGCTGTCCTGGTAAGTCAGAACACATGTACTTGATGTGAGCAAAGTAGGTTTAACTCTTGACTATCCAAGGTTATAAATATATATGGTTTTCCCGAGATTTAATTCTCTATTTTGGAGTTTCCTTTCTAGTAAGATTTAAATAATTTCTGCTTTTTTTTCATAACAGTTCTGGAGCTACAAGTCTCAATTACTACGGAAACTGCTCCGTCAAAATATATCACACGTGTCGCGAAGTCACAACTCATGTGAAAACCGTGAAGTTCGAGTTTATGGACGGTAAGATGTTAAGCTCTTTTTACGAATTCGATTCGAATAAATTGGGGTAAGGAGATTGTAATATGCTTGAGATATGCGAAATTGAAGAAATGAAAACAGATTCAGATTTTTTCTGATTTGATATTTGATACTTTTAATCCTCATTTTGAATTGGTGGATGGGTAACAACCGGCCAGGTAGAGGCTAATAAACAGTATCTTAAATCATAAAAGGACGTTAGGTTGCTCTTCCCAGTGCATGGTTTCATGCGTTATCGATACAAAAGAAATTGATACTGCGGAGACTTTCTGAGAGGAGGATGTGGCTGTACCCAGGCTGCCGAGACTGAGTTAATTCAACCTCTGTTGCGTGGGTGCCCTGTGCTCACCATTTTTTTTAAACAAAGGAGTCCTGGTTTATTTGTTTCATAACTGTATTTTGTATTAGTGCCATGCTCCATACAGACTTCCCTTTTGTTTCTCTTGTAACTACTCCAGCATAACAGGTAAACAAAAGTAGCGCCTTTCGTTTGATGAATGGACACATGATCCTAATGATCCGAGTTTACCCTTGTGACGCCCTTTAGAAAACCAAGAAATGCTTCAATGGTACAGACCTTAAAGACAGTAGAGCGCGGGATATACTTTGCAGGAGAGAATAATTCTCTCTGGACTTTTGCCATTTATAGTCAGAAAAATCACAGAAGAGAAAATGACACTTCTTAGCATGTATTATGTATCATATTATTTTCACAGGCGAAATTCCGGAATGTGAATATGTGAAGAGTCTTTTGGGCAAAATAGCCCGGAATAGTTTTTCGGCCTCTTTAGGAGTCAACGATGACTGGTCAGCGGCATTGTCCCTAGCTGCAATGGTGGAAGTACTTTTGATCATAGGAACGCTTCTTGTAAAGGTAGTCTCTAATTTCAAAAACGATTATTCCCAGGATTTTCGTAATAGTCGCATGGGACCAAACACAAAATAAAATATTTTGACCAATCAGCAACGACTGTGACCGACCCGATACTAGAAGTGGATACTGGCTTACTACAAGATATATATTTATTTATGCATTCATTCCTTCATTTATTTTCTGACTTTCTTGACCGAGAAAAAGGCGCAAGAAGCCTTACTCAATACTTCGAGTACCTGAAGGCTAGACCAGGCAATCTCCAAACTCACTTTCCAGCTCACAAGTTTAGGATCTGGAAAATCAAATTCACTGAACACACCCTGTTTGCTTGTTTGTTTATAAATTTGTTTGTTTGGTTGTTTTTATTGCCCATTTTGTACTTTACCGACCGCAACATTTGTGTGTGTCAATCGCCATTTCTTACTTATAACGTAAAAAATAATTTTTCTACACTTTTTTCAGTTTGTTTATGTAGGGCTTACCAAAGGCTGGAATTCCTCCAAGAAGGAATTTAGTGATCGAGTGTTTAACGCCTTGAGTTTGAAACGTACCTCATCACAAGCCAAAGACAAATCAGAGAAAGATGTGACTGAAGCTAACGATGGCGCTTGTCCGTTGGAAGAGAATCATAATTAAAAATAATTAGGGTCAGTGAAGATAATATAACTTTGTGCTAATTTCCGAATAACCACTGCTGGATTAAACTCAAGAAAAAAGTGCACCCTTAATAGTACTTTTAGTAATTTATTTTCGTGCTAACTACATTTACACTAAGTAAAGTGCTTTTCTCCGACGAACTTGGAAAGCCATTGATTTGATCCGGCGTTACGTTTATTGGTTGCACTTCTTTTCTGGAATTTTTTTGTTCACCCGTAAAGATAGAAGAAATGGGATGAAATGAAACAGAAGAAATAGAAGAAATGGGATGAAATGAAACAGGAGTTCAGTAATGAAAGCGTCCTTCCTTACACCGTTACAGCGTTTTGTCGTAATGATTTGATAAAAAGATTTCATCACTACTCTTTTTTTGTCTCATTCAGATTGATGAACATTTCCTCCTGTGTGAAGTGCCATGGACATTGGTTTGGAATGGTAATCAAACAGTTTGTAAATTGACAATGGCAAATAAAGTCACTATGATCAAAGTCTTTATTAAGGACGTGTAATTTTTTAACTATGGGCTAAAGGCTTTTGCCATCAGAGTCGCGATCACTGTGGATATCATTGTGAACGAGTAAGATCGAGTAACTCCCTTACCTGCTGATAATAAAAAGAAACTGGAACCCATCACATGATCAGCCTGTTTGCGGCCCTCGCGACACAGAGCACTTTACCCATCTTTACTAACACTTTCTGAGTGATGGGTGGTTAGCCTGCGCCACAAATGAAACTAAACTTCTGGGCCCAGTTTTTCCGAAAGGTGAATGACGCTATGCACTGAATGACGCTATCCACTGGATAAATCTCTATCCAGTGGATAGCGCACAAGTGGTTTCCCCCCCGGGGGGGGGTACTCGATATATCCCTGGGTGGGGAGGTGCGGCGCGGCCCCTCATACCCTGACCCTGTTTAAGACAAATATCGCTGATTTTCCTACCCTGTTTAAGACAGAATTCCGATTTTTGATACCCTGTTTAAGACATTTATCCTGTTTAAGACACAAATTAATAAATCGATACCCTGAATAAGACAAAAAATAGTAAATTGGATACCCTGTTTAAGACAAAAATCCCAAAAAACATACCCTGGCTGGCCGCACGTCCCCATTAAGCCCTCATAAGGGAGTACCCCCCCGGGGTTCCCTAAAACGTATCCGGTAGGTAGTGATTAAGCTGTTGGATAGCGCTATCCAACTGGGGACTGTCAAGTCTGTCTGCGAGCTAGCACCGAAATCCTTGTTTTGGGTCCCCAACTGTGTACCAGGATGTGAGTACGTGCGATGATTGGTCTGTTAAAAGAGGCGTTGTTTATTTGCCAATCAGGTTGAAAAGAATTTCGACACGCACTTCTGGTGGTCTCAGCGCTGCTTCGAAGACCAGCCGGGGATACATTACGTTAGCGGGTAACCCGGGGGGGTACTCGACCAGTATTTGGGTATAGATGAGCCACTGAGGGTTTGAAATCTCGACCCTGTCTAGGACAAAAAATTCCTAAAATACATACCCTGTTAAGGACAATTCCCTTGTTTATAATTAGAACAGACTCGCACAAATTATGCACACTGTTTAGGACAGACATGCGCGAAATTGTATACCCTGTTTAGGACAGACTCGTGCGAAATTATATACCCTGTTAAGGAAGGCGGCGACAAAAACCATACCCTGTCCAGGGGAGGCCCTGGTAGATTGTGCTAGCATAATTTTAAGCATAATTCAGCAAAACGAGCATTATTTTAAGCTTTTATTTCAGTTTAGCACTGCTGGCATAATCCGAGCTTTTATGCGTTGAAAACAAAAAACCCATCATAGCTCTAGAATAATTCAGTTTGTATTTTATTTCTGTATTGTTTTTGGAAAATATTGAGGTCTGTGCTAAGGCCCATGGTCAAATACGGTCCGGCAGGCGGCAGAGGTCACCCTGTGCGTAAGACTGAGACTCAGGCCACCACGCTTATGGTTCGGCGGCTCGGCCCCTCAGGCCTCAAATCAGAGATAGCGTCGTCCTCGAGTACATCCTTTTCCACCACTTCCAGTGCCGTACCGAGAGCTTTAATCCCTAGAGAACGTGTTCCTAAAAGTAATACCGGAAAGTACAAGGAAAAAAGGAAACTCAGATCCAAAGAACATGAGTCCTCGTGATCGAATCGAAGAATTCCCAGGGAAAATTTGTGTCTTCGAGGTGAAAAACTGTTTTGCAATGGGTGTAAAAAAACCACTTGGCTTCCAAAAAACATGCCGCAGGCAAAGAGAAGTTAAAAGTTACAAAAAAGCCAGATCATGTGCGCACATGCGTATTTGCCGCGCTAAAGAATGTAAGACTGGAAGGTGGACTATATGAATGTTCAGTAAAGTCAAAATTGATAGAGTTAAGCTACTGATGATCTTTATTTTCCTTAAAATCAGTGTAAAATATAAGTAGCATAATTTCGGTGACAGAGAGCATAATTTTCAGAAAGTAGCATAATTTTGGCATAATTTCTAAAAAATATGAGCACTGCTAAAAGCATGATGTGCTTTTTTTTCGAGCACAATCAACCAAAGCCTAGTCCAGCGGCACATCCCCGTACAGGCCATATAAGAGAGTATCCCCCCGCCTCCCCGGGGCGGGGTAGGCTATGGGCGGCAGCATTGTTCACATAATCCACAAAAGATACACCACACCCAAACAATGCCCCCTTTTAAGTAGTGTAAGACGAACACTGACACTGAGTTACAAAGTGAAGCAATCATTTGAGGCAAGACAATGGAGTTCAGCTTTAACTTCGTAACCTGAGATATTCAAGCCGGCTGCCATCATCAGGTCGATTCCATAGGTTCTTCATCATATCCAATACATCGCTCACTTTTCCTTTACTGCAGTCGTTCACGTAATCAATTGATTCAACGCTAGAAGCCTGTGGCGTGTTTACTCTAACATAATATATAAACGTCTGCAATGACCAATCAGGATTCACGTCAATCACTTGAGCCTTAGTTACTGCGCCAGAATACATGACGGGAATACTAGGTCCTGTGATTTCGAAAACTTCGACGAGGGTTCCAGGGTAAAAGCCTAAACAACGAAGAGATTTCTTAAAAACAGAACACTCTTTGTACATCCCATTTATTGACAAAGTTTCAATGCCTTTGTCTGGTTTGGGAAAATTCCTCTTCCCGTTTGATATGAGAAATTTGGCATATTCTTCCTCAAATGAAGTGTGAATTACTCTCCCAGCGTAAAATATCCTCTGGTTGGCGCGTGGAAGGAACATCACCAAAAAGCTCCACGGTTTAAGTCGAAATGTTTGGCGGAGCTGTTTGTCCAAGAATTTGAGGGGAAGAGACAAGTTAATGCAGACTTCCTTGATTTGACTTCCAACTAATGATGCAACGATGACCTGGAAAAAGAAACGCGTGAAATTTTCATTAATGTAAGACATGAAAAGGAAAATCTCTCAACCTTTAACAAAGCCCACCTTTCTTCCTTGCTCTTGGTCTTATTTATTTGATTTCATTTGATTTCATTCCATTTAATTTCATCGTATTTTACTTATTTTATGATCGTTATTATTTTATGCCTAAGGAAGTAACCCTGCCCGGGCGCAAGTCACTGGTCGGTCAGGGCCTCGAAAGAAATCTAATCAAAGAACCCAACAAGATACTTACATCTTTATTAGACGCCGTAGGGAAGACTTGCTTAGACTCTACTGTTTCACTGGTTGGTACCCGGTGCCATGTACTGAAAACACAATCATAGACAACGCCTTCGGTTTCAAGAATGTCATCATCTTCTGCTGGGAGACAGTTCCTAAACAAGCAAACTCTTAGATGACTTGCAAGCTTCAGTTTCTGTCTCAGTAGCAGTAAGACCTCGCTGATTATCATGTCGTTTTTCACAGCAAGAATGATGCGTTCCCCTCGTACGTGTCTTGGCCAAAGGTTGAATGTCACTTCAATGAACGATTCTGGCGCCAATTGTTCCTGAAACTGTATTGGTAGAGACTGGATTTGATTCCCAGGAAGGCTTGCTATGTTGAGAACCGCTGACCTTAGGCACTGCACGACCAAGGAGGCAGGAGTATCGTGAGTGGTTTCCTCAATTGTCTTAACCTGAACCTCATCGCTGTTCATCTGATGTTCACTGCTCAAAAAAAAACACACTTGCAATGATGAGGCTTTTTAGAACACCAACATGTAAAACATATTGAGATTTGAAAAGTGTCAAGAAGTTGGATACATCCATGCGAGACAGAAATCACTCTATGGCCCATATAAGTCTGTTACAAACAGTAAACTATTGTGATTTTTGTTGCAGATCACGGGTTGAGTGTTGCTAGTCAGCAAGGTGGTAAAGATCTTAATCTTAAAATTGCAATTTTCCCACGAAATATATTTATATCCATTATCTATTTACATGGGGGAAATAATTGGTTACAATGCTTAAAACTGTTATGAAGTATACTAAATACGGTCGAATCTCCACTAACGGCCACCCCTCCACAACGGCCATTTTTTTTGACGGACAGTCCGTTTCATTCTTTCTTGTTTCAACCTCTCTACAATGGCCACTTTCTTCTGTCCCCAAGATGGCCGTTGTAGAGAGGTTCAACTGTAAATATCAACTACAAAAATCAAACTGTGCGGGGACCTGAAAGAAAAAAGAGGGGTGGGGTAGTAAGGAAATACCCTTCAGAGACTATTGAATACGGATAGCTAATCATGACCAGCCATATATATTGCCTGGATGAAACAGATATAATTTAAACAATGATTTATTGTATGACAAGCCAAAAAAAAGACATTTACGTTTTAAAAAAAGTTTAATTCCGGAGGCCATTTTGACCAAATTGGCTGATTATCGTTAACAATGTTGCGGGTACCCGATGATCTATTTAGTACCCGTGACTCAAGATACACTCCCAGTTGGCAACGCGCGACGCGTGACACTTGAAATACTTTGGCCGGGCGAGAGCAATCATCGAATCGAGATCTAGGTGTCTCGTCTTTTTATTTTTACTGCACAATATTCTTCCTCTCCTTAACCTCTTGGCTACGGATCTGATCATTATATATTTGGAACGATGCAGATTATGAATGATTAAGTGATTAAGTTTTCAGGTAATGAATTCAGGAAGGATAGATATTTGCAAACTGATACCTCATTTTGGAAATTCTGACCAATCCTCATAGTTACACACAAAGAACCTGCTAACATTTTCGAGAAAAATCCACTTCGTTTTTCACTACTCACGTACTTTTCTTTTCTGATAAAAATTCCTTCTTTCCTAGACCCGGTTGATCAAAACAAGGATAGCACTTTCCATGGGATAAATCACTACCCAGTAGATAAGCATCAGGGAAACCAATTGTATTATTCAGTGGATAGAGATTTATCCAGTGTATAGCATGGGGCCTGGTGAGTAAGCCAGCCGAAATTCCATGAGTAAGAAAAACGATAAAGTGGGAAAAATACTAGATGTAGAAAAAAGGAAAAGGATGGAAAAGATTCGCCAAAAATAGACGTCCAATTTTTATTATGCGCACTCGCAAAAACAAACATGAAGTCCAATTACAGTGTACATCCAATTAATAGGGAAATTCGCAAAAATAGTTAAAGCATCTTTTTTCCCCGTTTCTAAGCTAATTGGTGCAAAATAGGTGCAAAATGGAAAACTCGGTTAAAAAATGCGGTTTTTTCTCTCTAAAAATTTTGTATTCCAGGGGTTAAGACCAACAAAACAGGAATACGTCAGTCTGTCTGTCTCATCAGCACGTGCATATTGACCTTTAGCAAGACATTCTCTCTTGCATTTAGTAAAATCCAAGTAATGGAAAGTTATCAATGTTGCGTTCTGAATGGTTGAGCTAGGTTATATGTTATGTTATAGCCCACTAGTAGCGAAAAGTTCCGGCTTTTTGGCGGCA